GGCCTCGAACGGAATGAAAACATTACATTTCTTTTTTGGAGCTATTTGATGACGTCAAAAAATGCAATACCCGTTTTAGTGGTCAAAATCGAGACAATTACTCACACAAATGTTTCCCTTTAAGCATTACAAATAAATACTTTTAAATATTTAAATGACATTGTTTTTTTCAAACAAATCAATATTATTTGCTTACTTAAACGTCATATACAATGCTGAGATCACCACGGGGCTGTCTTAGAGTGTAGCTGCACTGGCAACCTTTAGGCTAGACTCCAGGGGTCATTATACCAGAACAACATGATTCTACCAGCCAGTAGTTCATTTTTCTACTAGATTGGTGCTACGCTCAGCATTTAGGTGCCAGATTCAGAAAAAAGAGTAAGGCGTACCGATGAATAGGTGCCAGAAACAGCTAATTAAGGTCATTTTCCATGATTGGTGCTGGTATCCACCAAATAGGTGCTGAGGACCAATTTTGGGGCGAGTCAGCTTTTAGGTGCCAGAAATAGCTTTTCTGGGACGCAATTAAATGGCGTCCAAAATTAATTAACTTAAGGTTGGTGAAAGTTTTATCGCGATCGGCCGCTTTTTACGACAGTTATTCGCGAAAAACCAAGGGGGAGGGTTCCGTCGACCCCTCCCCCCTATATAGTGCGAGGATTACCCACGCCCTGCTGGTGGTCTGATTTTCTGTGTCGTGCTGGGGGGGGGGGGAGCGGGGGATGAGTTTTCACGCCCTTTGTCAAACTCGTATCTTGGGTGATGTAGCAACACGCGGTAAGCGGCATTCGAGGGAGCGTAAAAAATAATGAAGAAAATAAACCAATAAAACGCCTCTTGGAGCGACAAACGAGCGAGCGAGGGGGTGAGCCTGGCAGGTGCGGAATTGTGAGGGGGTACTTCCAACTGACTTGTGCACGGCACCCTGCTAATCGGTCTCCAAATTTGCCAAATTTGAGCGCAATCGGCCCTGCCGTTCTCAAGATCTGGAAGCGACACTCTGCACTTGCGCACGTGCAAACTGGGTCCCAACTGACATGTGCACGGCGGGTCCGTATCAAAGCGTCCAAAACCGCAGCACCCAAAGTACGCAACATCCAAAACCGCAGCGTCCAAAGTACGCAACGTCCAAAATACGTCCAAAATCGGGTTTATAGGGGGCATTCACAAAGTCCAAAACCGAAACATCCAAAACCGCAACGTCCAAAAACGTATCATCCAAAAAACGCAACATCCAAGGACGCAACATCCAAAGTACGTAACCTCCAAAACCACAACGTCCAAGACCACGACATCCAAGGCACGCAACATCCAAAACCAACCTAACCTAACCTAACCTAACCTAACCTAACCTACTGATTTTTGCCTATCCCTAACCCAACCAAACCTAACCTAACCTAACCTACTGATTTTTGCCTACTGGGGATAAGGAAACCCAACCTAACCTAACCTAACCTAACCTAACCTAACCTAACCTAACCTAACCTACTGATTTATGCCTACCGGGGATAAGGAAACCTAACCTAACCTAACCTAGCCTAACCTAACCTAACCTAACGGTTTTGGATGTTGCGTACTTTGGATGTTGCGTACTTTGGATGATGCGTCCTTGGATGTTGCGTTTTTGGATGATACGTTTTGGATGTTGCGGTTTTGGATGTTTCGGTTTTGGACGTTGTGAATGCTCCCTATATACCCGATTTTGGACGTATTTTGGACGTTGCGTACTTTGGACGCTGCGGTTTTGGATGTTGCGTACTTTGGATGCTGCGGTTTTGGACGCTTTGATGGTCCCCCGTGCACGGCACCCTACTATACCTACTAACCGGGCCTTAGCCGTGTACCAAATTTGAGCGCAATCGCTTCAGCCGTCTTTGAAATCTGGAACCGACCCCTGCACGTGCTCACGTGCAGCAGCACCCCAACCGTGACATATGAAAATGCATTGCCTGGTGGGTACCTACCCACTTGCCAAGTTTCAGCGCAATCGGCCCTGTAATTACCGAGATGTTGTAATTGTTGCATAACTGTTACCTCTTCATTTTGCACGTGACACGTGCCTCAGGGGTCACCCACATGCATCGTTAATAGTTCAATACTTGGTAAAACAAATGGAACTACCCCATTAGAATTACCGCAAGTAAATCAGTCAAGTGCTTGTAGAGATATAAGCTAAAAGCGTTACCACGGCCGACCGGCCGGTCGGCAGGCCGTCCGGCCGCTCATACTAATAAATGTCTGCGCTATTCTACCTAACACTTCGCTCGCTCTGCTCGCTGCGTAGTTTTTCCTTTTTAGGTCAGGTCAAAGGCTAGGTCGCCAGAGGACATCAAAGTTTGATTTTTTGTAAGGTGTTTGCGTTGCGTGTTTTCTTTCTCTTCCCGGTCTGATGCGTTTCTGATTGTGTCCGATGTCTGTGTATTTGTTTTGCTTGTGTCCGTTGTGATTTGTGTGTGTTTCTGTTCCTATTATATCTATGATTTTTGCTGGGCGACGAGTCACCCTGGGTTTTATCTGGCAACATCTTTTCCCTTATCCGATCAATCAAATTCCAAGTAATCTACTCGATCTGATACCAATCCAACTAGTCCTTATGAATTATGTCTATTCTAGTCTAGACTTTACGCCTAGTCAGCTGTCTTTTACGTTACGCTTGGAGTATTTTATCCCTTCTCGCTCTTTTTAACTAGCTTTTAGGCTTTTACTAAGCCTTTTATCTCGTCGGTTTTCTTGTGACACACTTCTTTTACTTGTTGAAAGTTAGGGGCGCAAAATGACCTTGTAGTCGGCGCGCCCTTAAGCCTCAATAAACAAACAAACAATTTTGTTTGCTGTAGGGGAAGTTGGGGGAACGCCGAATACTTTATTCTGACGCCCGTATGTAGCACGCAAGGTAGACAACATAAGCTATTCTTGTTGGCGTCATTCGAGAGGCTAGTCTTTTGCCTTTCAAACATACCAGGCGCATTTGATGAATTCGCATACCGTTAAGCGCACAAACTAAAAATATCAAAAAAGTGACTTTCGGCGTTGCCCCGGACTGCGGGGAAAGCCGAAAATGGGAGAAATGATCTATGGGGAATGCCGACATTGATGTTTTGCCACTTTATTTCAAACTTTATCCAGAATTTATCAAAGCTGACACGCGTTTTAACCCTCGCATGTGTGCGGCGTTTTACAGCTTCTAATGTGTAGGGGGGGGGGGGTCGGTTGGACCCCCCCTTGCCGTTTGGCCCCTGATCGAGCTAGAGCTTCGCGGAAAAAACGAGCGTGTTGCCCGTGACGAGAGGAAGCCGATAATACCCAATTTTAAGGTCCTAGGTCATTGGTTGACCTTCCAGGTCAGGTCAATGACCCAAAGTCGGGAAAATCGGGACCTATTAGAAAGTCGTAAAGTGTGGCTGCTAAGGGGTTTTTCGGGGTGCTGATCACGAATATCGTGTTAGTTTTGATCACAGATGATGTCTTTAAGCATTTAGACCAGGTCGGGTCAGGTCAGGTCAGGTCAACCAGTAGGCGTCGTGACGGGTATTCGTAGTACGTGTCAACCGCCTCTGACAGCTTCGTAACATGTTACGAAGGCACCAAAACTACTTCGTAAATGTTCAAATGGTTGCTAAATTCGAATTCAGCTCCAAAAACTAGCCTAGAAACATGTAAAACTCGAAAAAGTGAACTGAGGTCACCCGAGGTCACCAAAGGTCAATGACCTGACCTGACCTTCAGGTGACATTGACACCCACCCTAATGCATGGAAGCAACATCACATCACATGTTTGAACGTTTGAAACCACGAAAAGCTTGCAAACGCGCGGCTAATGCGAGCCGACGTACGCCGAATCGCGATTCCGGCCAAACATGGTCTCGGAAAAGAGGTCACAGGTCAAAGGTCATTTGGGTCAGGGTCATGAAATTTTCAGGGTAGGTGTCAAATTGATCAATGCGAGGGTACTGAAAGTTTCGTCGCGATCGGCCGCTTTTTACGCGAGTTATTCGCGAAAAACCATGGGGGGGTCCATCCGACCCCCCCCCTACACATGCGAGGGTTAAGAGCTTGAGGACGCTTGGTGCACACTGGAAGTTATAATTGTGTGATATAATAAGAAAATGTCAGGTAAATAATTCCTTATAGGTAACAGGCCGTTGTGTCGGTTGAAAGTGTAATTTGTGTGACTAAAAATTCGCGTTGCTATTCTACAGCAGTAAAGTTCACGTAGCGTGCTTTAACGTGCGTAATTGCACGTTTTCGGCATTACCCCAGCCAGCCATACTTTCATTTGCAGGCCCATAACTTTTCAACGTGCCGTATAAATTTCAAATAGGCAGCACACTTATGCAAAGACATGCTGAAGATTACTTGACCGAATTGGCCAGACAAACGGTAGCATAATGAGTAAGAAATGCAGCTTCAAAGGCGCATGTAGTACAAGGAACGCGTACCTTGAAAACGCTCTTGGCGCCCTCACAGCCGAAGTATTCCGAATGACGACTCGTAACAAACATGCGATAATTGTAGTCACTTAAGCTTCAGAGCATCACTGACATGGGCATCCATGTCTTACGGTTTTCGAAATATCTCGAATTTCGGCTTTGCCCCAACTCCGGCATTGCCCCAACTTCCCCTACTTTTGTCCGGTGCTTATGTGTTTGTTCCGACTGTGTCTGGTGTTAATTTGTTCTGAATATCCCTGTTGTTTGTGTGTTCGCTCTTATTGCACACGCTGTGATTTTTGTTTGTTCCGGTTCCGATAGTATCCGTGATTGGTGTTTGCTTCAGCTGGAGGCGGGCGATGTCATATCCGTTATTTGTGTTTGTTTCAGTTAGAGGCGGGCGATGTCATATCCGTTATTTGTGTTTGTTTCAGTTAGAGGCGGGCGATGTCATATCCGTTATTTGTGTCTGTTTCAGTTAGAGGCGGGCGATGTCATATCCGTTATTTGTGTTTGTTTCAGTTAGAGGCGGGCGATGTCATATCCGTGATTTGTGTCTGTTTCAGCTGGAGGCGGGCGATGTGATTCTGGAGGTGAATGACCAGGAGGTCAGTGACCTCACCACCAAAGAAGGTGAGAGACCGGCGACACATTACAAAGAAAAAAATCAGTCCGAACCTCTTGAATGGATGGGGTCACAAGCGTATGGACTATGGACCCCGCTAAGCAGAACTTGTGGCCTTGGCCCTGTCCTCTACCCTCCGATTGCGCAATCTCTGGTCTATGGTAGAATTTAGAATACGAAGTTAAACGTAGGCACATAGTCCCGCGCGCGGTCCGTCCCCTCACTGACCTGGCTGACCTGGCTCCCTCACGCCTGGCTACGGCCTGCCACCAACCGCAACCATACCCGTCAAGAGGCTCATAAACATCGAGCGCCTTTCGCGCCTCGAACCCTGACTGTTATAACCGGGACGCGTGCTCTCACCACGCGGAGTCCAACGCTCTACCGACTGAGCCACGGGACCCGCTCAGTTCCATTTGTTGTTTTCTTCTTCCCATCAAGTTTTTGACTGGGTGGATGCAGTATAATCATATTGAACAGCAGTGGTCGGCTCGGCAGGTCCTCCGGAGTCCGGGGTGGCGACCCCCCTCCTTTTGGGCGCCAGGAATGGCCACCCCGGCCCCACTTACCTCGGGGGGGGGGGGACACCCCATTGCTGACACAACGACGGTCATTGAAATTCCATAGCTCTAGCTTTAGCTAGCCATAGCTCTTGTCTCTGCTTGTCTCTGCTTTTCTCTATTTCAAAGTTAGAAATTGACAAGTTCCACATTGTTATTACGGAGCGAGCGAAGCGAGCGTAGTCTTTCCTTAGATTAACGGAAATTTCTGAGTATGAGCGGCCGGCCGGCCGGCCGTGCGGACGCTTTTGCGAGGCTTATATCTCAGCAACCACTTGACCGATTTACATGCGGTAATTTTTGTAGGGTAGCTTCATTCCTTCTATTCATGCATCCGGGACTATTCCCGATGCATGTGGGTGACCCCTTATGCACGTCCCACGTGCAAAACGAAGAGGTGTCAGTTTTGTAATTGTTGCAATATCTCGGTAACTACTTGGCCGATTGCGCTGAAAGTTGGCATGTAGGTAGGCACCCACTAGGCACTGCATATTCATGTGCCAGAGTTGGGGTGCTGCTGCACGTGCGCACGTGCAGGGGTCGTTTCCAGATCTCGAGAACGGCTGGACCGATTGCGCTCAAATTTGGTACACAGTTAGGGACCGGTTAGTAGGGTGCCGTGCACAAGTCAGTTGGGACCCATTTTGCACGTGCGCACGTGCAGGGTGTCGCTCCCAGATCTCGAGAACGGCTGGGCCGATTGTGCTCAAATTTGGCACATCGCTAGAGACCGGTTAGTAGGGTGCCGTGCACAAGTCAGGTGGAGGTACCCCCTCGAAATTTCGCACGTGCAAGGCTCACCCTCTCGCTCGCTCCGTTAAGCCCGTTGTACACGGGCAACTCCCGTCGGCAACTCCCAGCAATCGGTTGCTCGGCGACAGCCTTTTCTGTTGCTCTGGGTTGCTGAAGTGCTGCCAAATGCTGTTCAGGGTTGTTCAAATGCTGCCCAATATGTCGGCAACATCGACGATCGCCGACGGTCGCTGAGCGTGACGTCACGATAATTATAACCAATGGACGAGCTGTTGCTCTCGATCGCCGAGAAGTTGAATATTTTGAACTTTCTGGCTGTTGCTGCGGTGTTGCTGGCCGCTTCTGCTGTACGAGCATGCAGCTATGGAGCAGCAAATAGGTAAAATATTTACAAAATACCGTCCTCTTAGATTTTTCAATGCCGATTACTAGTCAGGATATCTGAAAGGGATTTTGACAGGTTGGATATTGGTCTCAATTCTGATTTATTGGTGGGGATCAGTACCGGAGAAACCGTGGGGGACCGTCCCCCCGGGCCCCATTAATTCCATTTTCTGGGGGGACCTGGGGGCATAATATATAACGAAAGTGGGCCATTTTTACTTATGTTTTAAAGAACCACATGGGCCTGTATTGGTGTTCTAAATCTCATTCCAAATGTCGGAGCCCTATATCAGTGAGTAAATCTCAATAAGTCGGAGTTCACAGCAAGCTAGTGGGCCCATTCTGAAGATTCCAGGACAAATCTTCGTATGGCATTTCTTCGTCGCGCAATTCTTCGTCCGCAAATCTTCGTCGGCGCATTTATTCGTGTCGCATTATTTCACCTCGCATTTCTTCGTAGGCGCAAATATTCGTAGCGCATTTCTGCGCCCATGAAGGAAGCTGTATGACCCCTGAAAGCACCCATTCAATAAAACAATCGCTTTGGACTAATTATCATTTTAGTGATTATCAACCCATGCCACAGATAAACAACATACACAAGCTACTCCAACCTTTCATATTTGTTTTAACTTTTAATACCACGTTTTGGCGTTAAAAAGATAGTGGCATCACTAGCGAACGATGGCACAGGCAAGCTATCATTAATACATATCGTCTATCGATACGTATATAATATGCAGAAAACTTTAATATCCAACGCCACAAACCTCAAACAACATCTGCGTCCGGTTGCCGGTGGGCTCTGGAATGCCGGTTGTCGAGAGTCGCCCAGTTCCTCGGCGTGACGTAATTGTGACGTCAGCAATGTGAAAGCAAATTCATCGGTGTTGCTAGGAGTTGCTCGCATGCTGCCACCGGTTGCCCGGCGATCGGTTGCCCAGAGTCGCCGAGCAACCGATTGCTGAGAGTTGCCGGCGGAAGTTGCCCGTGTACAACGGCCTTTAGTCGCCCCAAAAGGCGTTATACTGGTGCATACTATGCAACTATGCATGCGCTATGCATATTATTACGGAGCGAGCGAAGCAAGCGGAGTCTTTCCTTAGATTAACAGAAATTTCTGAGTATGAGCGGCCGGCCGGCCGGCCGTGCGGACGCTTTTGCGAGGCTTATATCTCAGCAACCACTTGACCGATTTACATGCGGTAATTTTTGTAGGGTAGCTTCATTCCTTCTATTCATGCATCCGGGACTATTCCCGATGCATGTGGGTGACCCCTTATGCACGTCCCACGTGCAAAACGAAGAGGTGTCAGTTTTGTAATTGTTGCAATATCTCGGTAACTACTTGGCCGATTGCGCTGAAAGTTGGCATGTAGGTAGGCACCCACAAGGCACTGCATATCCATGTGCCAGAGTTGGGGTGCTGCTGCACGTGCGCACGTGCAGGGCTCGTTTCCAGATCTCGAGAACTGCTCGACCGATTGCGCTCAACTTTGGTACACGGTTAGGGACCAGTTAGTAGGGTGCCGTGCACAAGTCAGTTGGGACCCATTTTGCACGTGCGCACGTGCAGGGTGCCGCTTCCAGATCTCGAGAACGGCTGGGCCGATTGTGCTCAAATTTGGCACATCGCTAGAGATCGGTTAGTAAGGCGCCGTTCACAAGTCAGTTGGAGGTACAGGGACCCGCAGTTGCTTCTGTACACACTAGTATTTCAGCGTATTCTTTGCCTGTGACACCGCTGGAGGCGAATTAGGAAATGATTGTGTGCTTATTAAAACCACCATCTGAAGGGCTTTAAACTGATGAGCTGCTCTCCTAATTCAGTGAACTTTTTATGGCTATATCAGCAAAACATTGTTTTCAGCGCTTTTTCCTGCCCCATTCCTTCTGAAACCTGGAACCGCTTATTCCATTTACTCCTGCCATCTGACGATGGTCGTGCTGACTACTAGTTCCGGCGCTAGTTACTGCTCCAGTTTTGCACCCGGCACAAACTCAGGCGGCACCGGGCCGTGGCTCGACCATGGGGAGGGTCGGACCGAGCCGACTGCCTGGGGCGCGGTTAGATCGGACGCCCTGCTGGGGAAGGGGACGGGAGTGAGGGGGAGTGGAGGAGGTGGTCACGTGGTCCGTCCAAGCTCGCAGACGACCTGACCTGTCCTGCGCCCAGCCATGTTCCGTGATCCAAAATGGCACGAGAGCTGTGGAATGCCTGGAGGAGACGCTTCGAAAGCGAACTTCAGCAGCACTAATTTACCATATTCTGTGGAGATAAATTAATATTATCTTAATGCAGAAAAATTGTATGCCCAAGCTGTATAAGCTGTATCTTTTTAAAAGTTGTAAACATAAATATTTTAGGGACTTATAGGTTTCTTATACACAGTGAATTGTGTTACAATAAGCCGTTTCGCTGTTATGGTTACTAACTGAAGAGTTATCCTTTTTTCTCACAGGGAATGACAATACAATAACAATACGAATAAAACCAGACGTTTCGCACAAAAAAGTGCCTCCGTCAGTGGCAAGAAATAAGTAATTAGGCATACATGTTTTCTTTCGATAACATCGATGAAGTAGTTATCTTTATTTTTTTTTAAAGATATATCTTCAGCAGTTTTTTTAAGCACATCATGGAAGCTTATAAACATTTATGTATTTTATCGGCAACCCGGCTGGCCAGACCGAGACGGTGCCGCATTTAGTTCTCATCGATGTTAAACCTATACACTCGTTTTTCTCCACTGACGAAGGCACGTTGTTGTCCGAAACGTTTGGTTTTATTCGCATTGTTTTTTATATTGTCATTGTCCGTGAGAAAAACATACTCATATGGACTGGTCTCAGTTCATATAGAAATTGTTGCACATTCATCAACACAGATAAAATGAATATTAGCCCTCACCACACATAGAAGTAGAGGTAAGTAGACCGCGCCCGCTGTTTTACACCAATAAATCGCGGCAAAGCGAAGGATTGCGACGATTCTTTGGTGCCATGGAGTTAATCAATTTTACAACTTCCCGGAAAATTAAATAGCCCTTATCATTTTTGCATCTTGTCTGAGAATTTTAAATCCCTGAACCAAATTACCTTTAACCTGTGATTATTTTTCTCAAGATCATGTCAGGCCAGAATAGCAATTGAAAGTCAGCGCACATCTTCTGTGTGTTTCCATAGTCGTTTCGTGATTAGCAACGTGACAACATGTGAAATATACTATCTAATGTTTGTCTCATTAATTGTTGTGGGTGCCAAGGTCACGTGAAACTCAGGTTAAGGTCATTTACTTGAAATGATCTCGGTTAACTTCCTTAAATTTACACCTTTTTACTGTGGTTTTTGGGAAGTGTTGGTTTGAAATTTAGCACCCATTTTAGCATTTGAAAACTAGGCATACTTAGGTATCAGTTATAGTGCCTATGCAATATGTTGCAAGGCTGTAAGTGCTGGTTAACATTCTATATAGCCGGCAGAACGCCTAATGGGCGATCTGGCGTGACCCATCCTACCCCAAATGCTTTGATACATCATCTTTGATCAAAGCAAGTGCAAATTCGGAGTCAGAAGCAAGCCAAGTCCCAGCAAACTTTACTTGTAGAAATTCTAGCAGGACCCAATTTTCCGTGCTTTTGGGTTATTAACCTGATCTGGGAGGTCAATCAGTGACCTAGGATCTCAGCATTGACCAGGACATAAAAATAATTGGCTTTTTCTCGTCAGCGATGACCAGGACCCTCAAATCATCGGATTTCTCTCGTCACGAGCAGCTCGCTCTTTTTATTTTTCAGCGAAGCTCTGGCTCTTTTTATCAAGGGCCGAATGGCTGAGGGTTTCTACGCCCCTCCGCTACATGTAAGACGCTGAAAAGAAATGCCTAAATAAGTGAGGTTTAAATATCGATTGCTTTTTAAGTGCCTAAGCCCGAAACACTTTAATTTACTTCGATAGCAGTTTTTAAGACCAACGAGCTCGAATAATATAACTTCTTGAACAATGTAAGCACCACATAAAATGAATCGTGAGAGAAGCGGCTCAAGATTAAGGAACTATGAGACTTAATAAAAAACGGCATAGATTAGAGACTGCACCTAACTTGCACTGACCTTTTCGTTGCAGACTGGTAGATTAAATTTTAGGATTTATTTCAGCTGATGCTCAAATGGAGCTATTCATTCGTTCATTCATGCGACCATCTAATTCCATTCATAAAAGAAGCCAGTGACAAAATTGTTCATTTTAGATAAGTGTGAAATACAAACTCAATAAAAGTTTAATGATACGGCAAATTTGACAGCTTTTATAATGAACAGACAAATAACTTTAACGAATCAAGGTTGCGAGCCCCAAATAGGGGAGAGTGAGGTATAGATGAGCCAAGGGGCAAGTTTAGCCACCCCATGTTTCTCAGCTCCTATGGCACTGATTGACTTGAGCTTCCATGTGCCGTTCGCTTACGATGCTGCAGTCTTTCACGTGAGACGGCAACGTTCTCACGCTCAGCACCCGGTAACATGTGGTATCGCCCCTGATAACTAAGACATGTTTTGTCTTTAAAAAGAGATGGTTGTTATCTGCGGTGCATGGTTATTTTCCTTAGCGGGTGTCATTAATCGAAAATGGCCACGGGTGGGGCAAGATGAGCCATTTTCACCTGAGGGAAGATGAGCCGGATAAGCCATTGTTGTCTCCGCTGTCGAAAACCAAACTGAGCTGCGCTTGTTTCTGCTGAATAAAAATGGTAGGATTTTTTTTTGTAAGTGATTTGCAGATTATCTGAAGGATAAAATGATTTCTTCCGTGATAGAAAACTTGACGAGTTATTGGAAGGCTTAAAACAGTCACTTTTTGATGGAGGAAAAAAAAAAAAACTTTGCCATAAGTATGTATGCCATGTAGTAAATAAAAGAGCCCACTCTTCGCCGCGCCCGGGAAAAGAAGAGGTTCGCTTTTTCTTGCGCTTTTTCCATCCATGCTCAACTTTCCCCACGACGTGTCTCAACTTACCCCGCCCATGGGGTAAGATGAGCAACGTGCAAGATGATTTTTGACGTAGCCTTTCAGTACAAAAATAAGCGGTATGAAACATTTCTGGCCACCATTACATGCGCAAATCACCACTCTGTCCGTCCAACCCGTGAACGCAGAAAAATGATCAGTAAGTTAGCCTGTAGCTTACGAAAAACAAAAGCGGCTCAACTTACCTCATTCTTCCCTACGTTACACAATTGAGGGCATTTTTTTAGGCCATCACAGTATTTGTCAACAATTGTTGTTTGGGGGGGGGGCTGGGGAGGGTGGTTACTGGCTCATAAACTGTCCCCCCCCCCAAATAAAAGAAAACGAAACCGATAATTCGCGAAAACAACTATTGAGCTCGAACCAAGGTGACGAATCGATTTATAGGTATGCAGGATGACTAACGATGCCACTTTTTGACTTCTTGTGTCAAATAAATTCCATTATCTGGATAGCACGTCAACATTCTATTTGACATTTTACAACAAACGTATACTATTTGGCGCGACTAGCCTCATAAATGTTCTGAAACTAAAACCGTTTCTTCGCAATTAACTTGGACCACGTCATCCCAGCTCATGCACGACAAAAATAAAATAATGCTTCACGATCACTGGCCTGAATTCGAATGCTTAAAGTTAACTCAAAACCGGTGTGGCTGAGGCACTCTTCGCTACATCTCGTGACGGCCACCATTGCATTGCATTTTTCGGTAAGCTATAAGTAGGAAAGGATTGGTGAGTGGGTTGAAAACAGTCCTCACCCTCCACCCCCCCCCCTCCTTCTTCTGGAAACATAAGTAACCGAAAGATCTGGCGATGGTTTATCCACCTCCTCTGCCGCCGCGCTGCGAGGCCTCGATTCGTTCGGTATGTGGCTTCCTGAGCGGTCCTCCCCGGAGGCAAGGTGAAAGGTCATGGCCTGTATCAGAAATTTATACGTTGCTGAATATGTTTTATAGTTCTTCCAAGGCCTTGGACACCGTTTTATTATATCGGATAAGCATTGCACTTACTTGTCAATCAATACATCTAAAGAAAACTTGATCATAATCTTAAACTGCGGCAATTGTAGTTCTGCTTACGGTTGCCTCTTTATGATACGGGCCACCACCACGTCCACTGCGCTGGAGCTCAGGCGTTCTACCCCTCCCCGCTACGGACCGGCCCTCGAGCTGGGTGTGTTAGTACTGAGCGCAAACTTGTAGTAGTCACGTGACTTTCATTCACGTAGCGGGAACGGAAGCTATAGGCGATACCAAGGACGGGCTCTGGGGAGGCAACCGGCGCGGAAAAATAGCACGATTGTAGTTTTGGAAGAATATCTGTTGCGGTAAGAGGAATTATACAAAACATACGTGCTAGGAGCAAACATGTGTTATTCCTTTATGCTTTGCGCTACATTTCCTTTCTCCAATGGCCAGCACTTAGCAAATAATAGCGCAATTCTAAATTGGTAATATATGTGTACAGTAGCAACTGCGGGTCCCTGTACCCCCTCGAAATTTCGCACGTGCAAGGCCCACCCTCTCGCTCGCTCCGTTAGTCGCCCCAAAAGGCGTTATACTGGTGCATACTATGCATGCTAAGTATGTGTAGTTACAAACATAAAGTAAGCAGTTCTCAATGGTGATGACTAAGTGTAGGTGTGTTCCAGACTGCCGAGTTGACCGCTCACTGTGACTCAGTGTACGTTCCAGACTGCCGAGCTGACCGCTCACTGGGACTAAGTGTACGTTCCAGACTGCCGAGCTGACCGCTCACTGTGACTCAGTGTACGTTCCAGACTGCCGAGCTGACCGCTCACTGTGACTAAGCGTACCTTCGTTCCAGACTGTCGAGCTGACCGCTCACTGTGACCCAGTGTACGTTCCAGACTGCCGAGCTGACCGCTCACTGTGACTAAGTGTACGTTCCAGACTGCCGAGCTGACTGCTCACTGTGACTCAGTGTACGTTCCAGACTGCCGAGCTGACCGCTCACTGTGACTAAGCGTTCCTTCGTTCCAGACTGCCGAGCTGACCGCTCACTGTGACTCAGTGTACGTTCCAGACTGCCGAGCTGACCGCTCACTGTGACTCAGTGTACGTTCCAGACTGCCGAGCTGACCGCTCACTGTGACTCAGTGTACGTTCCAGACTGCCGAGCTGACCGCTCACTGTGACTCAGTGTACGTTCCGGACTGCCGAGCTGACCGCTCACTGTGACTAAGCGTACCTTCGTTCCAGACTGCCGAGCTGACCGCTCACTGTGACTCAGTGTACGTTCCAGACTGCCGAGCTGACCGCTCACTGTGACTAAGTGTACGTTCCAGACTGCCGAGCTGACCGCTCTCTGTGACTCATTGTACGTTCAGACTGCCGAGCTGACCGCTCACTGTGACTCAGTGTACGTTCCAGACTGTCGAGCTGACCGCTCACTGTGACTAAGTGTACGTTCCAGACTGCCGAGGTGACCGCTCACTGTGACTCAGTGTACGTTCCAGACTGCCGAGCTGACCGCTCACTGTGACTCAGTGTACGTTCCGGACTGCCGAGTTGACCGCTCACTGTGACTCAGTGTACGTTCCAGACTGCCGAGCTGACCGCTCTCTGTGACTCATTGTACGTTCAGACTGCCGAGCTGACCGCTCACTGTGACTCAGTGTATGTACGTTCAGACTGCCGAGCTGACCGCTCACTGTGACTCAGTGTACGTTCCGGACTGCCGAGCTGACCGCTCACTGTGACTCAGTGTACGTTCCAGACTGCCGAGCTGACCGCTCTCTGTGACTCAGTGTACGTTCCAGACTGTCGAGCTGACCGCTCACTGTGACTCAGTGTACGTTCAGACTGCCGAGCTGACCGCTCACTGTGACTCAGTGTACGTTCCAGACTGCCGAGCTGACCGCTCTCTGTGACTCAGTGTACGTTCCAGACTGCCGAGCTGACCGCTCTCTGTGCGTTTGTTTCAGTGCTGAAATGTCTGCGGCTCTCGGAGCAGTCGGTCTCGCTCAAACTGCGGAAAGGTGAGTTTGAGTTGGGCCGAATACCACTTCTCACAGCGCGGCGGGGCGATTATCACACACTCTCAAGGGCAATTACCACTCACTAACAGCGACGATTACCACTCACAGTCCGGGCGTTTACCACTCACCTGCGAGAGCGATACCATTCACGGGGGCGATTTCCAATCACAGTGAGGCCAATACCAGCCACTCTAATGGGGCAATTACCACTCGCAGACGGGGGCGATTACCACTCACTCAGTCGGTTGGTTACCACTCGGGCGATTACCAGTCACAGAGTGGGGGGGGGGGGATTAGTGGTAACCACCCACTCACGGGCATGTCGCCGTGTGACGTCATATGTGTGTGTGTGTGTGTGTGCCGGCAGATGACGCGGTCCGGCAGCGGGTCAGCCAGTACCTGCAGTCGCCGCAGACCCTGGAGCAGCTGCGGCCGGCCATCACCCAGCGCGACCTGGCCCACGTCCGAGAGGTGGTGGCCATGAAGGGCTCGTCGCGCCGCGCGCCGGCCGCCGTGCCGCGCGTGCCGCTGGTACACAGCCCGCCCAAGGGGCGCGCCAAGCCGCTGCCGCCGCCGTCCGAGGCGCGCCGCCAGACGGACGGCGCGGCGCACACCAACGGCCACGGCGGCACGGCGCCGGCGCCGGCCGACGGACGGCCGCGCTTCGAGGCGTTCACCATGACCGGCGAGCTGATGCTGAATCTGTCGCGTCTGCCGGCCGACGAGCTGCCGCCGCCGGGCCCGCCGGCTGACGGCGGCGGCTCGGCGCCCACCAGTCCGCCGGCGGCTCCGTCCGGCGGCGGCGGCGGCCTGTTCCGCGGCTCCCGCTCCGAGGACCGGCTCCTGTCTCCGCCGGCGGAGGCGGACTCCGCAGCGGAGCGGGCCGGATCCGTGGACCCACTGCCCGACACCGACACGGCGCGGGGCAACGGGCCGAGTCCGGCACAGCGAATACTCGAACAGGACAACGACCGGGGGGACGAACAGGGCAACGACCGGGGGGACGACCAGGGTAACGACCTGGGGAGCGACCAGGGTAACGACCTGGGTAACGACCAGGGTAACGCACAGAGCAGCGGCCGCAGTGGGACGGCGAGCGGCCGGAGCGGCGAGCGGACAGACGACGCCGGCGGCGGCCGGCCGTGTGGTGAGAGCCGGCTGAACGGGGAGACCACGGAGCAGAGCGGAGCACACGGCCCCGGCCCCGTCCCCGGCAGTCCCGACTCGGACGACGGCTCCGACTCGGAGAGCCAGCGCAGCCTGCCGCCGCCCTGCCCCAGGGCCGTGGACGGGCCGTCGGCCGGCCGGCTCGCCAAGCGGCTCTACATGCTGGAGGGCTTCCGGCGCTCGGACGTCTCCAGGCACCTCGGCAAAAAGTCAGTACCGCCGCCGGCAGGGGTGCGCGCAGGGGCTTTGGAGGGAGGGGGCACATCGACGAGCAGTGAGCCGCAGAGGGGGCCGGGTGTCCGCCACTCCTGATGGACCTGTTGACCTGTCACCTGCCGTCCATCCCGCAGCGTAGCGCAGTGGTCGGGTGGGTGGCTCCGCTCACCGCACGCTATCCGCCGTCCGCCGTCCGCCGTCCGCCGGTGGCTGATTCGATTTCCCGCTGACTCACACTGGGGGAGTGAGTGCGGCCTGCGGACCCCGCCACTGACTCATGGACCCCGGCGGGCAGGGAGCGCCGCCGCGGTGTGTGCCATTACGTCACGGCAGGACTGCCAGGCGCCGGTGTGTCTCCCTCCGTCCGGGGAGGGGAGGGTGTGTCTCCCTCAGTCCGGGGGAGGGGAGGGGAGGGCCGCGGTGTGTCTCCCTCAGTCTGGGGGAGGGCCGCGGCGAGTCTCCCTCAGTCCGGGGGAGGGGAGGGGAGGGCCGCGGTGTGTCTCCCTCAGTCCGGGGGAGGGGAGGGCCGCGGTGTGTCTCCCTCAGTCCGGGGGAGGGCCGCGGTGTGTCTCCCTCAGTCCGGGGGAGGGGAGGGCCGCGGTGTGTCTCCCTCCGTCCAGGGGAGGGGAGGGGAGGGCCGCGGTGTGCCTCCCTCAGTCCGGGGGAGGGGAGGGGAGGGCCGCGGTGTGTCTCCCTCAGTCCGGGGGAGGGGAGGGCCGCGGTGTGTCTCCCTCCGTCCCGTGGAGGGGAGGGGAGGGCCGCGGTGTGCCTCCCTCAGTCCGGGGAGGGAAAGGGAGGACCGCGGTGTGTCTCCCTCAGTCCGGGGGAGGGCCGCGGTGTGTCTCCCTCAGTCCGGGGGAGGGGAGGGCCGCGGTGTGTCTCCCTCCGTCCCGTGGAGGGGAGGGGAGGGCCGCGGTGTGTCTCCCTCAGTCCGGGGGAGGGGAGGGCCGCGGTGTGTCTCCCTCCGTCCAGGGGAGGGGAGGGCCGCGGTGTGTCTCCCTCCGTCCCGTGGAGGGGAGGGGAGGGCCGCGGTGTGCCTCCCTCAGTCCGGGGGAGGGAAAGGGAGGACCGCGGTGTGTCTCCCTCTGTCCGGGGGAGGGCCGCGGTGTGTCTCCCTCAGTCCGGGGGAGGGGAGGGCCGCGGTGTGTCTCCCTCCGTCCAGGGGAGGGGAGGGGAGGGCCGCGGTGTGCCTCCCTCAGTCCGGGGGAGGGGAGGGGAGGGCCGCGGTGTGTCTCCCTCAGTCCGGGGGAGGGGAGGGCCGCGGTGTGTCTCCCTCCGTCCCGTGGAGGGGAGGGGAGGGCCGCGGTGTGCCTCCCTCAGTCCGGGGGAGGGAAAGGGAGGACCGCGGTGTGTCTCCCTCTGTCCGGGGGAGGGCCGCGGTGTGTCTCCCTCAGTCCGGGGGAGGGGAGGGCCGCGGTGTGTCTCCCTCCGTCCAGGGGAGGGGAGGGGAGGGCCGCGGTGTGCCTCCCTCAGTCCGGGGGAGGGGAGGGGAGGGCCGCGGTGTGTCTCCCTCAGTCCGGGGGAGGGGAGGGCCGCGGTGTGTCTCCCTCCGTCCCGTGGAGGGGAGGGGAGGGCCGCGGTGTGTCTCCCTCAGTCCGGGGGAGGGGAGGGCCGCGGTGTGTCTCCCTCCGTCCAGGGGAGGGGAGGGGAGGGCCGCGGTGTCTCCCTCAGTCCGGGGGAGGGGAGGGGAGGGCCGCGGTGTGTCTCCCTCAGTCCGGGGGAGGGCCGCGGCGAGTCTCCCTCCGTCCGACGCCGCCGCACCACTGATTGTATCTCTGAATGTGTGCGTGACAATGCCTACCTCCATGTATCGCTAAACCTACAGACTGAACTCACTGACGCCGTCCTCGTGCTGCGTTCACTTGTTATCACAGGGTTGTAACAGTGTGTGTTCTCCCTCTGTCCTCAGTAACAGTGACGGGTTATAACAGTGTGTGCTCTCCCTTTGTCTTCAGTAACAGTGAGGACTTGTAACAGTGTGTGTTCTCCCTCTGTCCTCAGTAACAGTGTGTTTTCTCCCTCTGTCCTCAGTAACAGTCTGTGTTCTCCCTCTGTCCTCAGTAACAGTGACGGGTTGGAACAGTGTGTGTTCTCCCTCTGTCCTCAGTAACAGTGAGGACTTGTAACAGTGTGTGTTCTCCCTCTGTCCTCAGTAACAGTGACGGGTTGTAACAGTGTGTGTTCTCCCTCTGTCCTCAGTAACAGTGACGGGTTGTAACAGTGTGTGTTCTCCCTCTGTCCTCAGTAACAGTGACGGGTTGTAACAGTGTGTGTTCTCCCTCTGTCCTCAGTAACCGTGACGGGTTGTAACAGTGTGTGCTCTCCCTCTGTCCTCAGTAACAGTGTGTGTTCTCCCTCTGTCCTCAGTAACAGTCTGTGTTCTCCCTCTGTCCTCAGTAACAGTGAAGGGTTGTAACAGTGTGTGTTCTCCCTCTGTCCTCAGTAACAGTGACGGGTTGTAACAGTGTGTGTTCTCCCTCTGTCCTCAGTAACAGTGACGGGTTGTAACAGTGTGTGTTCTCCCTCTGTCCTCAGTAACAGTGACGGGTCGTTACAGTGTGTGTTCTCCCTCTGTCCTCAGTAACAGTGACGGGTTGGAACAGTGTGTGTTCTCCCTCTGTCCTCAGTAACAGTGACGGGTTGGAACAGTGTGTGTTCTCCGTCTGTCCTCAGTAACAGTGGCGGGTTGGAACAGTGTGTGTTCTCCCTCTGTCCTCAGTAACAGTGACGGGTTGTAACAGTGTGTGTTCTCCCTCTGTCCTCAGTAACAGTGAATGGTTGTTTGTAACAGTGTGTGTTCTCCCTCTGTCCTCAGTAACAGTGACGGGTTGTAACAGTGTGTGTTTTCCCTCTGTCCTCAGTAACAGTGTGTGTTCTCCCTCTGTCCTCAGTAACAGTCTGTGTTCTCCCTCTGTCCTCAGTAACAGTGAAGGGTTGTAACAGTGTGTGTTCTCCCTCTGTCCTCAGTAACAGTGACGGGTTGTAACAGTGTGTGTTCTCCCTCTGTCCTCAGTAACAGTGACGGGTTGTAACAGTGTGTGTTCTTCCTCTGTCCTCAGTAACCGTGACGGGTTGTAACAGTGTGTGTTCTCCCTCTGTCCTCAGTAACAGTGACGGGTCGTTATAGTGTGTGTTCTCCCTCTGTCCTCAGTAACAGTGACGGGTTGGAACAGTGTGTGTTCTCCCTCTGTCCTCAGTAACAGTGACGGGTTGGAACAGTGTGTGTTCTCCGTCTGTCCTCAGTAACAGTGGCGGGTTGGAACAGTGTGTGTTCTCCCTCTGTCCTCAGTAACAGTGACGGGTTGTAACAGTGTGTGTTCTCCCTCTGTCCTCAGTAACAGTGAATGGTTGTTTGTAACAGTGTGTGTTCTCCCTCTGTCCTCAGTAACAGTGACGGGTTGTAACAGTGTGTGTTTTCCCTCTGTCCTCAGTAACAGCGACGGGTTGGAATAGTGTGTGTTCTCACTCTGTCCTCAGTAACAGTGAGGACTTGTAACAGTGTGTGTTCTCCCTATGTCCTCAGTAACAGTGACGGGTGGTAACAGTGTGTGTTCTCCCTCTGTCCTCAGTAACAGCGACGGGTTGGAACAGTGTGTGTTCTCCCTCTGTCCTCAGTAACAGTGAGGACTTGTAACGGTGTGTGTTCTCCCTCTGTCCTCAGTAACAGTGACGGGTTGTAACAGTGTGTGTTCTCCCTCTGTCCTCAGTAACGGTGAATGGTTGTTTGTAACAGTGTGTGTTCTCCCTCTGTCCTCAGTAATAGTGACGGGTGGTAACAGTGTGTGTTCACCCTCTGTCCTCAGTAACAGCGACGGGTTGGAACAGTGTGTGTTCTCCCTCTGTCCTCAGTAACAGTGAGGACTTGTAACAGTGTGTGTTCTCCCTATGTCCTCAGTAACAGTGACGGGTGGTAACAGTGTGTGTTCTTCCTCTGTCCTCAGTAACAGCGACGGGTTGGAACAGTGTGTGTTCTCCCTCTGTCCTCAGTAACAGTGAGGACTTGTAACGGTGTGTGTTCTCCCTCTGTCCTCAGTAACAGTGACGGGTGGTAACAGTGTGTGTTCTCCCTCTGTCCTCAGTAACAGCGACGGGTTGGAACAGTGTGTGTTCTCCCTCTGTCCTCAGTAACAGTGAGGACTTGTAACGGTGTGTGTTCTCCCTCTGTCCTCAGTAACAGTGACGGGTTGTAACAGTCTGTGTTCACCCTCTGTCCTCAGTAACAGTGTGTGTTCTCCCTCTGTCCTCAGTAATAGTGACGGGTGGTAACAGTGTGTGTTCACCCTCTGTCCTCAGTAACAGCGACGGGTTGGAACAGTGTGTGTTCTCCCTCTGTCCTCAGTAACAGTGAGGACTTGTAACAGTGTGTGTTCTCCCTATGTCCTCAGTAACAGTGACGGGTGGTAACAGTGTGTGTTCTTCCTCTGTCCTCAGTAACAGCGACGGGTTGGAACAGTGTGTGTTCTCCCTCTGTCCTCAGTAACAGTGAGGACTTGTAACGGTGTGTGTTCTCCCTCTGTCCTCAGTAACAGTGACGGGTGGTAACAGTGTGTGTTCTTCCTCTGTCCTCAGTAACAGCGACGGGTTGGAACAGTGTGTGTTCTCCCTCTGTCCTCAGTAACAGTGAGGACTTGTAACGGTGTGTGTTCTCCCTCTGTCCTCAGTAACAGTGACGGGTGGTAACAGTGTGTGTTCTCCCTCTGTCCTCAGTAACAGCGACGGGTTGGAACAGTGTGTGTTCTCCCTCTGTCCTCAGTAACAGTGAGGACTTGTAACGGTGTGTGTTCTCCCTCTGTCCTCAGTAACAGTGACGGGTTGTAACAGTGTGTGTTCACCCTCTGTCCTCAGTAACAGTGTGTGTTCTCCCTCTGTCCTCAGTAACAGTGACGGGTTGTAACAGTCTGTGTTCTCCCTCTGTCCTCAGTAACAGTGATGGGTTGTAACAGTGTGTGTTCTCCCTCTGTCCTCAGTAACAGTGACGGGTTGTAACAGTGTGTGTTCTCCCTCTGTCCTCAGTAACGGTGAATGGTTGTTTGTAACAGTGTGTGTTCTCCCTCTGTCCTCAGTAATAGTGACGGGTGGTAACAGTGTGTGTTCACCCTCTGTCCTCAGTAACAGCGACGGGTTGGAACAGTGTGTGTTCTCCCTCTGTCCTCAGTAACAGTGAGGACTTGTAACAGTGTGTGTTCTCCCTATGTCCTCAGTAACAGTGACGGGTGGTAACAGTGTGTGTTCTCCCTCTGTCCTCAGTAACAGCGACGGGTTGGAACAGTGTGTGTTCTCCCTCTGTCCTCAGTAACAGTGAGGACTTGTAACGGTGTGTGTTCTCCCTCTGTCCTCAGTAACAGTGACGGGTGGTAACAGTGTGTGTTCTTCCTCTGTCCTCAGTAACAGCGACGGGTTGGAACAGTGTGTGTTCTCCCTCTGTCCTCAGTAACAGTGAGGACTTGTAACGGTGTGTGTTCTCCCTCTGTCCTCAGTAACAGTGACGGGTTGTAACAGTGTGTGTTCTCCCTCTGTCCTCAGTAACAGTGACGGGTTGTAACAGTGTGTGTTCTCCCTCTGTCCTCAGTAACAGCGACGGGTTGGAACAGTGTGTGTTCTCCCTCTGTCCTCAGTCACAGTGACGGGTTGGAACAGTGTGTGTTCTCCCTCTGTCCTCAGTAACAGTGACGGGTGGTAACGGTGTGTGTTCTCCCTCTGTCCTCAGTAATAGTGACGGGTGGTAACAGTGTGTGTTCACCCTCTGTCCTCAGTAACAGCGACGGGTGGTAACAGTGTGTGTTCTCCCTCTGTCCTCAGTAACAGTGAGGACTTGTAACGGTGTGTGTTCTCCCTCTGTCCTCAGTAACAGTGACGGGTGGTAACAGTGTGTGTTCTCCCTCTGTCCTCAGTAACAGCGACGGGTTGGAACAGTGTGTGTTCTCCCTCTGTCCTCAGTAACAGTGAGGACTTGTAACGGTGTGTGTTCTCCCTCTGTCCTCAGTAACAGTGACGGGTTGGAACAGTGTGTGTTCTCCCTCTGTCCTCAGTAACAGTGACGGGTTGGAACTGTGTGTGTTCTCCCTCTGTCCTCAGTAACAGTGACGGGTGGTAACAGTGTGTGTTCACCCTCTGTCCTCAGTAACAGCGACGGGTTGGAACAGTGTGTGTTCTCCCTCTGTCCTCAGTAACAGTGACGGGTTGTAACAGTGTGTGTTCTCCCTCTGTCCTCAGTAACCGTGAGGACTTGTAACAGTGTGTGTTCTCCCTATGTCCTCAGTAACAGTGACGGGTGGTAACAGTGTGTGTTCTTCCTCTGTCCTCAGTAACAGTGACGGGTTGGAACAGTGTGTGTTCTCCCTCTGTCCTCAGTAACAGTGACGGGTTGGAACAGTGTGTGTTCTCCCTCTGTCCTCAGTAACAGTGACGGGTTGGAACAGTCTGTGTTCTTCCTCTGTCCTCAGTAACAGTGGCGGGTTGTAACAGTGTGTGTTCTCCCTCTGTCCTCAGTAACAGTGACGGGTTGGAACGGTGTGTTCTCCCTCTGTCCTCAGTCACAGTGACGGGTTGGAACAGTGTGTGTTCTCCCTCTGTCCTCAGTAACAGTGAGGACTTGTAACGGTGTGTGTTCTCCCTCTGTCCTCAGTAACAGTGAGGACTTGTAACAGTGTGTGTTCTCCCTATGTCCTCAGTAACAGTGACGGGTGGTAACAGTGTGTGTTCTCCCTCTGTCCTCAGTAACAGCGACGGGTTGGAACAGTGTGTGTTCTCCCTCTGTCCTCAGTAACAGTGAGGACTTGTAACGGTGTGTGTTCTCCCTCTGTCCTCAGTAACAGTGACGGGTGGTAACAGTGTGTGTTCACCCTCTGTCCTCAGTAACAGTGAGGACTTGTAACAGTGTGTGTTCTCCCTCTGTCCTCAGTAACAGTGACGGGTTGTAACAGTGTGTGTTCTCCCTCTGTCCTCAGTAACAGTGACGGGTTGTAACAGTCTGTGTTCTCCCTCTGTCCTCAGTAACAGTGACGGGTCGTTACAGTCTGTGTTCTCCCTCTGTCCTCAGTAACAGTGACGGGTTGTAACAGTGTGTGTTCACCCTCTGTCCTCAGTAACAGTGTGTGTTCTCCCTCTGTCCTCAGTAACAGTGACGGGTTGTAACAGTGTGTGTTCTCCCTCTGTCCTCAGTAACAGTGGCGGGTTGTAACAGTGTGTGTTCTCCCTCTGTCCTCAGTAACAGTGCCGGGTTCAGCCGGGCGGTCTCCATCCACTGACCCCCGTCTGTTCCCCCCCCCCCCCCCCCCCAGTAACGAGTTCAGCCGGGCGGTGGCCGAGGAGTACGTCAAACATTTTGACTTCAGCGGCTGCTCGCTGGACGTGGCGCTCGGCCAGTTCCTGGAGCGGTTCTCGCTGACTGGCGAGACCCAGGAGCGCGAGCGGGTGCTGGTGCACTTCAGCCGCCGCTACATGGACGGCAACCCGGCTGCCTTCAACTCCGTCGGTGGGTCGGAGCTATACGCCACCCTCCGTCCTCTGTCCTCGGCGCCACTCCGCCCTCAGCCCCACTCCACCCTCCGTCCTCTGTCCTCAGCGCCACTCCGTCCTCAACACCTTACACAACTCTGTCCTTAACTCCTTCCACAACTCCGCCATCCACTCCTCCATAAATTACCCTCAGATCTGCCCTTAACTTGCCCTCAACTCTGTCCTCAGCTCACTCCTTAGTCCTTCTACAACTCCTCCCTTAACCCACCCTCATCTCCTCGCTTATTTCATCCTCAAGTCCTCCCTTAACTCCTCCCTCAACTCCTCCCTAAACTCCTCCCTCAACTTCTCCCTCAGCGCGGCCCTCACCTATGTCGGTGGGTCATGAGGCATGACACGCGGTATTGGGTAGAAAATAGGAATAATGCTATGTTATCATACACGAAGCTTTTGGTATAAAAACAAACCCCAATACATCGGTCAGTGTTCTCAGGGATTGAGGTGCGAAATGAAGAGAATTCTGAACAGTTTGATATGACTTAATAGATTTTATGACATGATACTGGCAAAGATATACAACTACACATTGAAAGTCTTATCAAAATAACGAAATTTGTGAAGAAAGTCGTTTTTAAGCTTTTCTTTATTCCGAACTTAACAATATGCCTTTAAGCCTAAGTAGATGATATGCTTGCTGATCTGTCAGCGGTCCAGTAGAACAAAGCCGTATATTGGATGGGCTCTGTGACCTGTCTGCCACAGTTCTTGTCTGCTATCTGGACCTGCTCTCCGTCAGCCGTTAGCCGCCACTGAGTTACCCCGCCCCTCCCACGGCAGACGCGTGCCACACCCTGACCTGCGCGCTGATGCTGCTCAACACCGACCTGCACGTGCAGCACGTGCCGCGCAAAATGACCTGCGCCGAGTTCGTCGACAACCTGTCGGAGCTGAACGACGGCCGGGACTTCCCCGAGGAGACGCTGCGCCGACTGTACCAGGCCATCCGGGCGCGGCCCATACACTACGCCGCGTGAGTCAATACCCTACACAATACCCTACACAGCACCCTGCATAATACCCTACACGTCAACCTACCAGGCCATCCGGGCGCGGCCCATACACTACGCCGTGTGAGTTAATACCCTACACAATACCCTACACAACACCCCACATAACCCCTGCACAACACCCTACACAACAACCTACCAGGCCATCCGGGCGCGGCCTATACACTACGCCGCGTGAGTTAATGCCCTACATAATACCCTACACGACACCCTACATAACGCCTGCACAACACCCTACACGTCAACCTACCAGGCCATCCGGGCGCGGCCAATACACTACGCCGCGTGAGTCGATACCCTGCATAATACCCTACATAATACCCTACACAACAACCTACCAGGCTGTCCGGGCCCGGCCGGTACACTAGGCCGGGGGAGTAGGTACTGCATTGAAGCATGATACACGTTACATAGTTATTTTTCAAATGCACTATGCGAGGCCATGCAATGTATGATAATAAGATATGAACTGAGGCATATTTACGTCTGGACAACGAGTTGCGGGAAAAAGTGCTGATTGTGTTGCAGTTTTAGGAGCCGGTGATTAGGCTGGATTTTTGGGTTACTTTTTCGTTCCGATTCATGTATTTCATAGTGTTTGGCTTTTGAATATTTTAGGTCTTTCAGATAAATATTACTTGCCTTACAACTTTTGTAAAAACGTTTCTTTTTTATAAGCCGACGTTCAGAGTCCTAAAAATACATCAGCACTACAATCATTGTAAACAAACAAATGGAGCACACAACTTGGCTCTATTCCAAGGCCATTTATTAGTTTATCTGGTGGTTTTCTTGCTCTTGTATGTCGTTTTGTTGGATGTTTTGAATCCCTTAAGATTGACTTATATCATATTTAAGAAGCATGTTGACTGAAAACAATCTGAAGTATCCAGGAGGCTGACAGAGGTCCTGACTACTGAGCAATATCAATATCAAGTTGAACAAGTTATGAAATTTTGGTTGATAAACGCAAGTTGATCGGGCTCATATATCAGCAAGAAAAAGTAAAATTAAAAGAGCTTATTGTCCAAAAACAAGCTATAATATTGCAGACCTTGGAGCAATACTGAAGAGCACGCTGAGCAGGATCATGCCAGAAAATGTTGACTGATGAGCGCATATTGATGTATTGGTATGAATATTGAATGATAACTTACAACAGCAAGATAAATTAGTGCTAACTATCAAGTTAAAATCTAGAATGAATGGACTTGGGCAGTTTTACTATGCTTAGATGCTATGCAGATTGTAATGTGCATCAGGTACTCAGTGTCTGGCAAATGAAACATGCGATCATTCCATTGCTACTGGAGGAGAAAGCTTGGATCACTAAATCCACTTTATGTTGATTTTGATGTTAATCATCATCACTGTATTTCTTTAAAAAAGGATTTTAGTAAAATTGTCAATGTGACAATCCATGCAACGATGTGATCATATTATGTGTTCATAGTCATTCGTGATAGTCATTATTGGTCCAATATACAATGTGGCAAAGCTCTCAGTCTCAGCGTTTCTTCCTGTGGATGACCAGCAGTGACTCAGAGCTTAGAAGTATTAGTTTTCTTCACAGGGCTGGGATAAAAAGTACTGAGGGTAATCTTCCACCAAGGAACTCTACTTTGACATGGTATGAGATGGTAGGTAGGTGCTCAGTTCCTATGGTCAGTAGTTGTGTATGTTTAGTCGGGTTGGCTTAGATCAGATTGTTAGTTTTTTAATTTGCCAAATGTCCATAAAAATGTGACCTGAGCAATGAGCATACCTGAACCTGACTAACCTGACAGTTGACCTAACCTCAATCATCACACATATTTGCAGGCTACCCAAGACCTGCATGGCAGTAGCACCCAGTTATAGGTAGGTACTCACCCTAACTCAATTTTACCTGCTAACCTTCAACTTGCCAAAAGTTACCTCACATTGCCAAGCTGTGTCCAGGGAAACAGTCAACTGAGGAACTGGCTCATTGGGTGGCTGGTGTGAGTCTGTGCATTTAAAGTGTTTCTTCTCTGAAGCTGCTCTGCATTGCTGTATGTCATGTTAGATGCTCAGAAAATGTGGGAAATGATACTAAGCTACTTTAGTGCTTTGTTAAAGCTCGAGACATGAACAAGTACAGATCCTGGGCAGGGTACAGCTATGAGTTAGGTGCTAGGTGAGTAGAGTATGTTATGTGAATGTGCTGTTCCCTGTTTGACCGTAAGTAGGTATACAAACAAGCACAGGGTCACAGTTATATTCAATCTCCACATAAACATAGAAAAAAAACGGCCATATAGCCTAACTCCGAACACACCACAGATAACTTAAGCCTTTGAAGGCACAAAAATGTTTTGATTAACAGGACAGGTTTACAATATGTCCTCTGTCCTTGGGGGATCTTGCTGCCAAGTTGAGGTATGATGACTGAACTTCAGGATTGATCAACCTTTTCTTAGCCACTGCTTATATACGAGAAAGACCAAATGCTTGTTTTGATTTACAGGACATGTATACAATATATCCTCTGTCCTTGGGGGATCTTGCTGCCAAGTTGAGGTACGATGACTGAACTTCAGGATTGATCAACCTTTTCTTAGCCACTGCTTATAAACGAGAAAGACCAAATGCTTGTTTGTAAACTGCGTTGAAAATTTAATGATCCACCTTCAATTCTGACATGAAGGCACAAATGAAATAGTTCCCTCTCCTTTTGGAATACACAAAGCAAAATATTTAATAAATTTTAGTGGATGGACAAGAGCAATTAGCATAGCTTTCCCTCAAGTTAATTTCTGGCACTGTTGATGAATTACCATTATGATTATGTGAATTACACTGACGCTTATTCGCTTCATATTTTGTAACAAACGCGCTAAAACTGCAATATGACAGCACTATATGCATCTTGACAAAATGCAATAGTATTAGAAATTTAGCCCTGGTGGCATTCATTCTTGGTGGAAACGTAATTACAAAATATTTTGTAGTAACTCTTAAATTCCGGCCGAAAACAGTGCACGGTTTAAAAAAGAATCATTCCAATGACGGTCCATTCTTGCGGTCCTGAAATCGCCACTATTTCCGGCCTCTCCAACGCAACTCGTTGTCCAGACGTAAATATGCTGAACTGAGCATTGTGCATTGTGTTTCTCACTAAAAGTGATTCATTTTTAAGACTGCTTGCGATGCCCCACCGCTGCTGAGGGTGCACTGTGCTGTTCCACCACTGACCGTGTGCACTATGCTGTCTCCCACAGCGATGACGAGTACGAGGAGATGGAGGCGGCTCCGGCGACCGGCCTGCCACCTGGCGGCGGCGTGACGAACCCGTTCCTGGCGGCGCCTGATCCCGATAAAGCCACCGAGTACAAGCGCGGCTACATGATGCGGAAGTGCTGTCTGGACGCCGGCGGGAAGCGCAGTGAGTACTGGCCCTCGGCTCATAACAGGAATTACTTACGGTGAGTCAGGATCAGGATCAGTGTATTCAACAGCATCCTCAACGTAGATGAGGCTTTTCATGAGTCACGTCCAAGGTAAAAGATAAAAGGTGAGTAAAAGACAAAAGAATATGATGAATAAAACATTCATACAGTGACAAGATAAACACCCGCACAGCTAGCTACACATCATCCATTCATGTGTCACTGAGTGCGGAGCTCAGTGCGCGCTTGAAACCGGCCATGGTCACAGCTCCCCTCACCACGCTCGGTAAGTTGTTATATTTTCGTGCACCTACGTTGGAGATGCGCCGCCAGATTTGGCGTATTCGGCGTATTATTATTTGGCGTATTATTAAATGATGTTCCGTAATTTCGATGGCGTGACTGACTCCGGCCTCCAGCGTTAGGAAACGGAATTGGCACCGAATACGCCAAATCTGGCGGCGCATCTCCAACGTAGGCAGTGTCAGAAAAGTGGTTTGGGGATCTAAGTTCGCAGACTAAAATTTTGAAAAGGTCGCAGAACAAAGTTGAAACTCAACTATGGTTCCAAATTTTTAATGCAGCTACCGCATTATATCAGTTTCTTTTTAGCATAATGGGCAGACATTGTTGAAATGCAGCATATATCAAAGTGAAACACTTGTACATGACCAACAAGCAATGGTAATCATTAAGCAGGCATCTCACGAGATGCCAGATCTGTCTACAATAGCAAGGTAGGTTGTAGGTTTGTGGATGTAAGGAACCCTAAATCCTAGGCAGTGTCGCATCCTGGCATCCTAGGCAGGCAGTGTTTGTAGGTTGTAGGTTTGTAGATTGTAGGTTTGTAGGTTGTAGGTATTAGGCTTGTAGGTTGTAGGTTAGTAGGCAAGGTTAGATCAGGTTAGATTATGTTTCAAATCTGGCATCTCGTGAGACGCCTGCTTAATGAATACCCATGCAATCTCGTATCTACTTAATAAGCAGGTAGGCTACATTGCCATTGCTGAAGTATAATGATGCATACCTATATAAATATTAATACTCACATTTGCCTAATTTAAACAAGGGAAATCCAAGAACATATCATAACTAAATGCAAGAAAACAATCTGAACCCACCAGAAGGCTACTAGTGTGAAAGCAGCTACCCTTGAATATCAGTTTCTTAGCCTAGGTAGAGGTGAAGGTATAATCAAGAAGGAGAGAAGTTAAGACAAAACACATGGTTTATGCTAAGTATTACCACTACCTGAGCTTGTTACAAAAATTGACATGAACAATCCCACCTCAGATTCCTTGAACGAAGATCAGAAGATGAGATGGTCGAAGTCGAATGAGTCTCAGACTCAGTATCTCAGCCTTTAAACAAAAATCGTATTGTTGAGTATGAAAAAACGAGAAAAATTGCACATGAACATTTAACTCTTAAATTACCCCACGAAATTATACTTCTTTACAATAACTCCCGCAAATCTCGAGACTAACCCGGCGCGTTCGCGTAAAAGTAAGCGTAAAAGCGCGCGGGACAGCGTTGCCTAGTCTGAGAATATATTTATTTTTTAAAAATGTATTTGTTGCTGGTTAAGTTCATTGCCGAATGACAAAAACGATTTTGATGTTCAATTTATTTTAATACAAAATTTAATGAATAATATGCAGCACAAAATAATGCCTTCGGTCGATTTATTACAAGTTAAGATATCTTACTGCCATGAGTTCGAGTAAAATAACAAAAAATCAATTTTTGTGTAATTCAGATGGGAAAAAGGCATCAAAAAGACAATAACTGTTTATTTTGTTCATTTTAATATTATTCACAAAGAATTTGCCATAAATTCGTCCAAGCTCTCTTATGCCGGCACCAAAAAGGTGATACCTCAAAAGACGCTGTCACTTATTATCCCCATACGCATTTTTTGCTCATTTTTACGAAACAAAAACTATTCTATAACTTTAAGCAATTAATTTCCATTCTAGCAATACCTTGTTTTGCAATGAATGATGTCTAGGTGTCTTAAACGATCCAAGTGAAGCTGACCTTAGCAGGCCCGGAACGACCCCGCAGACTATCGTAAAATATGGGCAGCACACGTTATAAAATTGCTAAATTTTGACATTTTTGAAAAGAAAAATCTTTTTTACATCTACTGATATCATTTTTTCATACTTTACTGCAATTGGGAACTTTTACCAGGGGATAGTCTGCCACCACGGAAACACCAAATATAGTCTGCGAGAATCCAGAACAAGTTTGCGCCCGGTTGCATTATGAAGGGAGCCGGGCGGGGAGCGAACTTGTTGGTGCGGCGATGGCAGTGTTTTAGACGTCAAAAGGCCAAGACTCATGACTCGTCTCCTATATGACTCGCGTGTTATTTTTGTGATTTGGTACCTATATTGATGTAGGGCCTTGGTTTGATTTGTGTGAGAAGGTGATTTTAAAGGTAGGATTGGTTGTGCTGATATAGGTATTATGGGTAATATGCTTATCCAGGACCAGTACCCATAATTTTCTGATAGCATTTACTACTCACTAGCTTGGTATATGTGTCATTTCTCAGAACAGTGTACATGTAAATTAATCAAGCTGAGCTTTTCAGGTTTATCTCACCTGACTACGTTAAGTTTGCATATCCATTTGGGGCATTGCCCATTTACTACTCACTAGCTTGGTAGTGTTGTTTCTCAGACCAGTGTACGTGTAAATTAATCAAGCTTTTCAGGTTTATCTCACCTGACTACGTTATTAACTTGAACTGCTGTTGCCTGTCAGCTAAGTTTTTTTTTAAAGCATTCACTACTTTGTAGGCACTGCATGCTAATATGGATATGAAATCGAGCTTTTCAGGTTTATCTCACCTGATTACGTTAAGTCTGCATATCCATTGGGGCATTGCCCATTTCCAGCTCCTGCATGCTGTGTAGTCCTTCATTCATATCATACATGTTGAACCAGATGTTGAAAGAGTGACAATATTTTCAACATTTTTATTAAAAAATACAGGATTAATTGTTAATGCACGCACACACTGTGTGATCACCATTCACAGATCACCTGTTCATAACACATCACAGTTGATGGGCTTCAGGCTGCCAATCTAATACCAGTTATTGTGAGGGACAAGGTTACCAGTGAAAGTTTTGCCAACAGCTGTCAGCTGGTGAACTTAGAGTAGCAGGCGGTGCTGGTTCTTGGGAGTAGGTCAGTAGTTTGTACTGCATTCTATTCAGGAGTCCAGGTCTTCATTCAGTAGCCATGGAGACTGGAGAGAGATGACTAAATCTGCTGAAGAAGAAAAATCAGTCATAGTGGGCAGGCGGTTGGGTTTTTGTTAAGTGACCCATTGTGAAATGCTCCATCAAGCCTGATAGTGCCTAAGTGCTGACATAGATGGGTAGAGGTACATTGTTACACAAAAATCATTGGCCATCTGTTTAGGGAACGTTTGCTCACAGAACAAAAATTGCTTTTCTTTAGTCAAGACTTTTCGCAGAACAAATCTTCCGAGTTCAAGAAAACTTAGAAACGGGCCACTTTTCTGACACTGAACGTAGGTGCACGAAAACATCACAACTTACCGAGTGTGGTGATGGGAGCTGTGACCATGGCCGGTTTCAAGCGCGCACTGAAGTCGAGGAGGTCCGACCGGCCGTGCCGCAGTGTCAGTGGGCTGTCTGAGAGCAATAATCCCCGAGCTCCCCGGCGCCGTACACTGCAGTCCTGGTCGGCTGATCATGGGCGACAGAACCGGCTGTTAGAAAACAAAACGTACTCAGTACTTACCACCCAGCGCAGTCTGTGAGTGCTCACGAGGCAGTGCAGTGGGTCGGGTACTCGTCAGCCCATCACAGCTGAGCTGAGGGACGGTACACAGCAGCAGTGGACTGAGGGACGGTACACAGCAGCAGTGGACTGAGGGACGGGCTGGGCTGAGGGACACAGCAGTGGACTGAGGGACGGGCTGAGCTGAGGGACGGTACACAGCAGCAGTGGACTGAGGGACGGTACACAGCAGTGGACTGAGGGACGGGTTGGGCTGAGGGACGGGCTGAGCTGAGGGACGGTACACAGCAGCAGTGGACTGAGGGACGGTACACAGCAGTGGACTGAGGGGCGGCCTGGGCTGAGGGTCACAGCAGTGGACTGAGGGACGGCCTGGGCTGAGGGTCACAGCAGTGGACTGAGGGACGGCCTGGGCGAGGGACACAGCAGAGCTGAGGGACGGGGGCGCGGCGGGCGTTAGTCGGTTGCAGCAATGTCTGCGCTGTTCCGGTGTACCTGTCTCACGCACTGTCTCCGCCCGGGTCCCGCTGTGTCCGAGTGTCCGACTCTCCCCCCCCCCCTCCCTCAGCCGCGCCGTGCCGTCGGTGACCGCCCCCCCCCCCCGTTCTGTTTCAGCGGCGCTGGGCCGGCGCTCGTGGCAGATGTTCCACTGCACGCTCCGCGACCTGGTGCTGTACCTGCACAAAGACGAGAGCGGCTCGCGGCGGGCGGCTGCCTTCGAGCACCTGCACAACGCCATCAGGTCGGTGGGCGCCCCCCCCCACACACACACTGTACAGAGTTACCTCCCCCCCTCCCACACACACACACACTGTACAGAGTTACCTCCCCCCTCCCACACACACACACTGTACAGAGTTACCTCCCCGCCCTCCCACACACACACACACACACACTGTACAGAGCTACCTCCCCGCCCTCCCACACACACACACTGTACAGAGTTACCTCCCCGCCCTCCCACACACACTGTACAGAGTTACATCCCCGCCCTCCCACACACACACACTGTACAGAGTTACCTCCCCGCCCTCCCACACACACTGTACAGAGTTACATCCCCGCCCTCCCACACACACACACTGTACAGAGTTACCTCCCCGCCCTCCCACACACACACACACACACACACACACACACACACACACACACACACACACACACACACACACACACACACACACTGTACAGAGTTACCTCCCCGCCCTCCCACACACACACACTGTACAGAGTTACCTCCCCGCCCTCCCACACACACACACTGTACAGAGTTACCTCCCCACGCTATCTCGGCTCTTGCTGCAGTGCCGTTCGCGAATAGCACAGGCCACATGGGAACACATGTTTTAGTGTATCATTGTTTTTATTTCATGGCTTCTCTGTGGACGTTGCATCTGAGCGCACCCTCGATGCTGCTGGGATAGCGTTTGTTGTATGTAGTTATGTAGAGCGTTACGCCGATTGACGTGCTGTGTTGTTCCCCTTGGGCCCCCTGACGGCGTGCTGGGCTCTGTGTAGCCGCGCTCTGTCCCACCAGGCACCTCGGCTAGCGTCGAGGGCCCCCTGACGGCGTGCTGGGCTCTGTGCAGCCGCGCTCTGTCCCACCAGGCACCTCGGCTAGCGTCGAGGGCCCCCTGACGGCGTGCTGGGCTCTGTGTAGCCGCGCTCTGTCCCACCAGGCACCTCGGCTAGCGTCGAGGGCCCCCTGACGGCGTGCTGGGCTCTGTGTAGCCGCGCTCTGTCCCACCAGGCACCTCGGCTAGCGTCGAGGGCCCCCTGACGGCGTGCTGGGCTCTGTGTAGCCGCGCTCTGTCCCACCAGGCACCTCGGCTAGCGTCGAGGGCCCCCTGACGGCGTGCTGGGCTCTGTGTAGCCGCGCTCTGTCCCACCAGGCACCTCGGCTAGCGTCGAGGGCCCCCTGACGGCGTGCTGGGCTCTGTGTAGCCGCGCTCTGTCCCACCAGGCACCTCGGCTAGCGTCGAGGGCCCCCTGACGGCGTCAGCTGGGCTCTGTGTAGCCGCGCTCTGTCCCACCAGGCACCTCGGCTAGCGTCGAGGGCCCCCTGACGGCGTGCTGGGCTCTGTGCAGCCGCGCTCCGTCCCACCAGGCACCTCGGCTAGGGCTCTGTCGGCACCTCGGCTAGCGTCGAAGCTGCTGCTGCTCTTATAATCACGTACAATGACAATGTAACGAATATTTGGCCCACTTTTTCGGCAAGTTTGGCGTTTGAGCTGAGTATGGATATGCAGCGATGCGTTCGGTTCTGGCTGTGGTTGTGGTTGTTGCCGAGCACCCCGTTCACATCGACCTTGACCCGTCGGTCTGAGTAAGTGATGTCATTTTCCAAAAAATGTCTGACCGATACCGACCGAAACCAAAATTTGGGAAAAATTCCCGACCGAATACCGACCGATAACACACCAAGCCAAAATTTGACCGAAATTTGACCGAACTTCTATTTGCTATTACTCTACCCCAAAATTAAAATATTTGGTAAATTCTGATGGAAAATAATGGGAAATGGCATTTCAGTCCAAGTTCAGTCAATTCTTAGCCACTGCAAAATACATATTGTGGTAGAAGTTACATTGCTGAGGGTAGCAACACATGGACCTCAGCATTTCACAGATTTAGTTGATTAGAATTGTCAAGAATCTACTGTGGTCTATGTAAGGAAGAATGCTCATTCATGTTGCAAAAGCACGATCAATTAGATATAGTCAAATGGTTGGTAATAGGTATGTTCATGACAACATTCCCTAGGAGAAAAGGCGGAATCAAAACACCACAAAACACATCAAAACTGCTTGGAAACTTGCCTTGAGTCTTGAGATGTGGTCTGAGATACTCTACAAATAATTTGACACTGAAAATCCAGCTGAAAAGGCAGGTATTAGGTAGCTCTGAGCTTGAATTTTGTCCCAAAAATGAAATGAAAATTCATTTCACAGGCACTTTGTCTTATCTCTTGTTTGTCTTATCTTTACAAAAAAAACAAAATATGCAGACAAAATGAATACCTACAAAGTGGCGCCAAAGTGGCGCAAAAAGTAATAGAAGAACCAAGGATTGACTTTTAAGATCCTCTCTTCCGTAACGAAAGGATGTATGTTGATGACGTAATATTTATTTATATGCCCTTTTGGTCGAATTATTGAAGAGAAATTAATTTTTTGTAGTGAATTACACTCACAATGTTGATTTCATTGAATTCAATATCGTGTTGGATCATTTACATCAATAAAATAATTCACGAGGCAGCATGTAACAATCCAAAACTTTTTTTGCAGCAACTTTATCAGCTGGTTTAAAGTCTCTGGCGCATCTGTTTCGAAATCCTTCCTTGTGTTTGGAATGTGGAAGATTCCAGAAATCGGACATGGGCCGATGTAGTTTTTGTCAAGATTCCTATGTTTTTATGTTGTGGTCATCTAGATTTCAAACATTTGGTTGGTACCTGCAATATTTAAGGAGAATATGGGATAGTAGAACACCTGTGAAATGTAAATGTGATCACTGCTAAGTGCTAATTGCTAACTGTCCAGTCTTCAGAAACACATTTCAGTAATTCAAGTTATTTTTGTCCTTGCATTTTTGATGACTGTATACCTAATGATTTTTGTAGGCAATACTTCTTTGATTACAGGTGAAATTTTAACAGTTAGACTGGAATAGAGTTTCAAAATTGTGTGTACTTGTGGGGCCAACTGAGTCAATATCAGCCTGCTTGTAGTTGTGGTTGGACAATGGGTGGCTGCTGCCTGCTGGGTGGGTTGGCTTATGAAGTTGCCAAAATGTGGCATTTGGCATTTGGGGGAAATTTTGCAACTCTATCACCAGTATAACGCCTTTTGGGGCGACTAACGGAGCGAGCGAGAGGGTGGGCCTTGCACGTGCGAAATTGCGAGGGGGTACCTCCAACTGACTTGTGCACGGCACCCTACTAACTGGTCTCTAGCGATGTGCCAAATTTGGGCACAATCGGCCCAGCCGTTCTCGAGATCTGGAAGCGGCACCCTGCACGTGCGCACGTGCAAAATGGGTCCTAACTGACTTGTGCACGGCACGCTACTAACCGGTCCCTAACCGTGTACCAAATTTGAGCGCAATCGGTCCAGCCGTTCCCGAGATCTGGAAACGACCCCTGCACGTGCGCACGTGCAGCAGCATCCCAACTCTGGCACATGTATATGCAGTGCCTAGTGGGTGCCTACCTACATGCCAACTTTCAGCGCAATCGGCCAAGTAGTTACCGAGATATTGCAACAATTACAAAAGTGACACCTCTTCGTTTTGCACGTGGCACGTGCATAAGGGGTCACCCACATGCATCGGGAATAGTCCAATACTTGGTAGAAAGAATGAAGCTACCCTACAAAAATTACCGCGTGTAAATCGGTCAAGTGGTTGCTGAGATATAAGCCTCGCAAAAGCCTGACCACGGCCGGCCGCTCATACTCAGAAATTTCCGTTAATCTAAGGAAAGACTACGCTCGCTTCGCTCGCTCCGTAATTAACATCCCAATATACTTCATTTTAACTAGGCAAAAATGGAATACTTTCTCTTTTTGAAAATGGTTTCACTGGCAGGGTGACCGAAAGTGTCCGATTTTTGGGGGGCCTGACCGACCGATTACCGAATCGGTCAGCATATCTTTTCGGTAACCGAAATTTTCGGTAACCGATTGACACCACTAGTCACTGCCACACCCAGCTCACCATGGAGGCCGGGAGGCCCCGCTCCAGCAACCGCAGTCTGAGGAGGTGGTGGCCAACTGTGTCGTAAGCCCTCGCAAAGTCGAAAGCGAGGAGAACACACTTCTGCGCTGTGGCGCCGTCCTAATGGTTCTGGTGTCTCAGTGGGGGAGCTGCGGGCAGTAGTCGCCACGCCATGTGCGGATCGCCCACGACCGTAAATACAAATACAAATACAAATACACCTGTCTTATACAGCCCTCTGCAAACTGCGTTGTAAGTATTCTTTTTTTCGATAAAACCGAGAATAACGCGGAGACTACGCTATCGGTTACTGGGAAATCGTAACAGCAAGACGCATGAGAACCTGCACCTTAGATTGACATTATCATCGTATTCATTTTCCATCCAGTTTGGCAACAAAGCCCAAAAGTTTATATTTGCCCCCAAAACAAACTTTTGCATTTTATTGCCACACAAGGTGTATACTTTGCCTAGTGATAGACCCAATCGAAGGAGTGGAGCATGGCGCATCTATTTGCAGTGAGTTCCGACCGACTGATAACATAACCTCTAAGTTATTATCGGTTTTGTCTAAAAAAAAAAGAATAGGTACCTACCACGCAGTCTGCTGAGGGCTGTACCTCCTGCACGAGGCAGCCGATGTTGTCCTCCACAGAGCAGTGAGCCCACCTGCTCCGGCGGCACCATGCCCCTGCTCTCGCTGAGGTAGGTGAGCCCAGCCAGGATCAGTCGCTCCGCCAGCTTCCCGACCTGGCTCGTCAGGGCAATGGGACGGTAGCTGCTGAGGAGCCTCTTTTCCGGCCTTGGGGATGGGATCATGTGAATCATTGTCGTCGCACGCCATTCTCTTGGAACTTCTGCTGTCGCCCACAAGGCATTGGTGAGGCGTAACAGAGCGCCACGCGCAGCAGGGCCAAGGTGCCTCCGGTTCTGGCTCGCCAAATGCCGCTAGCTCCAGACTGACTGTCCCGGGCCGCTCGGCGGCCGTGTGTTTCAGGGTGCACCACGCGCTGGCCTCCAAGTGTGTTCACACGGCGGCCGTGTGTTTCAGGGTGCACCACGCGCTGGCCTCCAAGTGTGTTCACACGGCGGCCGTGTGTTTCAGGGTGCACCACGCGCTGGCCTCCAAGTGTGTTCACACGGCGGCCGTGTGTTTCAGGGTGCACCACGCGCTGGCCTCCAAGGCCGAGGACTACGTGAAGAAGCAGCACGTGTTTAAACTGCAGACGGCTGATCAGGCCGAATATCTGCTCCAGACCAGGTCAGTATCTGCGGCAGACCAGGTCAGTATCTGCTGCACATCAGTTCAGTATCTGCTGCAGATCAGATCAGTATCTGTGTTGGTATCTGTGTCAGTATCTGCGACGGAGCAGGTCAGTGTCTGTAAGTATCTGTCAATATCTGCTGGAGACCAGGTCAGTACCTGTCTGCGGTATATGCGGTCAGTATCGGTCAGTATCCGTCAGTATCTGCTGCCAACCAGGTCAGTGTGGAACCATCCGCTGTGACATATACCGGGACCATCGCTGGATCACGTCCTACTGCGGTACATGCTCGGTAACCGGGACGCTCCGGCACATAAATGGTCACACCGACAGCACATAATTGAAGGAACATGACGGTACATATAGTACAATTATTCAGCTTCACATCTGGGCTGTTGTGCCGCCGCCCGGTCTCTGTCAGTAGGTACAGCCCTATATACGGCCCTGGGTACAGCTGTCTGACGCCGGTCCCTCCCCAGCGGTGACGTGCGGTACCCGCTGATGGTCAGATCTCTATACTGACCCCCCTGTCCCTCTGTGTCCCTCTAATTGTACAGTGACGCTGTGCCGCCGCCCGGTCTCTGTCAGCAGGGTCAGCTATCTGACACCGGTCCAGCTCCCCAGCGGTGACGTGCGGTGCCCGCTGATGGTCAGATCCAGTCTATACTGACCCCCCTGTCCCTCTGTGTCCCCCTCCGTACAGTGACGCTGTACTGACCCCCGTCCTCTCTGCCCCCCCACCCACCCCCCCCCCCCCCCCCCCTGTGTACAGTGACGCCAAGGAGCTGCAGTCGTGGGTGGACACGGTGAATTTCGTGGCGGCCAGTCTCTCCTCGCCGCCTTTGCCGGGCGCCGTGGGCAGTCAGAGGCGCTTCCAGCGACCGCTGCTGCCGTCCGGAGTCACCTCCCGCAGCCTGGTAATGTTAACCAGAGCAGACTGGTAATGTCACACACCACATACTGGTAATATCACCCACCGTCTGGTCACCGGCTGGTAATGTCACACACTGTATACTCGTAATGTTACACACTACAGCCTGGTAATGTCACACACCGCAGATTGGTAGTGTCACATACCAACCGCTTAACACTCCGCAGCCTGGTAATGTCACTCACCGACTGTTATGTCACACACCGCAGACTGGTAATTCCACACACCAAACTGATAATGTTTACACCAACTGGTAATGTCACACACTGCCGACTCGAAATGTCTCATTCCACAGACTGGTAACGTCACACACCGCAGCCTGGTAATATAATTCACGGACTGGTAATATCACACAACGACTGGTAATGCTACACACTGCAGACCCGTAATGTCACTCACTGCAAATTGGTAATGGCACCCACCGCAGGCTTGTAGTGTCACACACCGCAAACTGGTAATGGCACCCACCGCAGGCTTGTAGTGTCACGCACCGCAAACTGGTAATGACACACACCGCAGACTATTGATGCCATGCATTATCTGGTAATATCAGACACTGCAGCCTGGCAATTTTACAGCTTGGTATTATAACGACCTTGCAGTATTACAAGATGCCCAGTGTATCATTGCTTAGTGATATTACAGCCCGATAATCACAGACTGGTATTGTGTCACCGCCTGCTGATGTGACTGGGGCTGATGTGTGGCAGTATGGCAGCCCGGTACCCGCCAGCCGTCTCACACTGACGTGGACAGTGACACGGCCCTGCCGTCCGTCCGTACACGCACGGCCCTGTGACACCCCGACGCGGCCCGTACAGCACTACCAGCCCGTACAGTGCCACGGCCCTGCCGTCCGTACACGTACGGCCCTGTGACACCCCGACGCGGCCCGTACAGCGCGACCGGCGACTGGGAGGACCGGTTGACACGGACTGTCTGACACGTGCCGTCTGACACGGGTCGGCTGACACGGACTGTCTGACACGGACTGTCTGACACGGACTGTCTGACACGGACTGTCTGACACGGACTGTCTGACACGGACTGTCTGACACGGGCCGGCTGACACGGACTGTCTGACACCGACTGTCTGACACGGTGTGGTGTTCTGTTACGGACTGGTGTCCCTCTTTCGTTCCGTACCGTACGAGTGTGCCAGTGTCACCTAGCGGCAGTTCTGTTAACTGCAGGTTGTGGGGGTGGCGCTGAGGGCGAGTGACGTGTCCGTAGGCCGGCCGGCGGGGCAGTCGGTTGGCGACGGTGGTCACGGATGGTGACGGTCTGTGCCGTGCGCGTTTTGAGTTCTTTCTTTAAACCGGACTGTATATATCGCGTGGGTGGTGCAATACACTACAGTGGCGACGAGGACGAGATCCTTCTGCGCTGAGTGGTAACAGTGATCGCCGCGATGGACTGTTTGCGTGCGCCAGCGCCATTTCTAGTGGCGCCAGGACGGCCGACCACGCCCTGGTCCCAGTGGCTGGGCGAGTTCAGGATTTTCGCCATGGCGAGTGGTTGGGACGAGTGGACTGTGCAGCGACGAGAGGCCCTCCTATTACACTGTGTGGGACAGGAGGCGCGGCGTCTCTATTTCGCGGCGGCGAAACCGGCGCAGGGCGTGGCACCGGGAGCGCAGGAGGCGGCGATTCCGGCGCAGGAGGAAGATGGCGTCAAGGAGGAAGGACAACCGACTGCAGCAGTCGACCCGGTGGCTGCGATCTCCGCAGTGTTTCAGCGGCTGTTTCCGGAGACACGAGCGACTCATTCCGAGAGAATGCTGTTCCGGCGGTGTTACCAGCTGGACAGGTCTCCAGCGGTGTACCTCACTGAGCTGCAGGACCTGAGTTCCAGGTGCGCCTTCGGCGATCTCCAGGAGCAGCTGACCTGTGAGCAGTTCATCGAGGGCTGCAGGGACGACAGGTTGAGGGAGCGGCTGTGTCGGGAGCCAGCTCTGACTGTGTTGCGCATCCTCGAGGTGGCTGAGGAGCTGGAGGTGGCTGCTGAGCGACAGCGGCTGGTGGGTGGAGGTGGAGCTACCCGTGCATCAACCTCTTCCCCGGCTCAGCTGGAGATAGCTGCAGTGACTACTGCTCCCAGGAAGGGGGTCTCGCCATGCTGCAACTGTGGCGGTCCCCACCGGACTGCTGATCCCTGCTGTCCAGCTCGTTGGAGAAGGTGTCACAACTGCCAGCAGAAGGGCCACTACGCCAGATTCTGCAAGGAACCACCTCAGAAGACGAAGCAGACCAAGAGGAAGCCAGTAAGGACCGTTGAAGTGCTGGCCGTGACGGATGACGACCGGAAGAACCTGTGGACCGAGCTGCGGGTGGACCAGCAGCCACTGCGGATGCTGGCTGACACTGGCTCGGCCGTGAGCATCCTGCCGTTGTCCGTCTACAGGAAGCAGTTCCGCCATCTGCCCCTCCTGCCCACTGCAGTGCGCCTGGAGGCCTACGGAGGGTCATCGCTGCTGGTGCAGGGGGTGGTGCAGGTGACAGTGCAGGCAGAGAACGGCAACAGCTCCCAAGTTTCACTGTACGTGGTAGACGCTGGCGTGCCCCTGCTGGGCAGGGATCTGCAGGAGAAGCTGAAGTTGTCCGTGATTCACGGGGCGACTGTGTGTGCTATCCAGGAGCAGATGCCAGAGGAGCTGCCGAGTCTCACTGGGCTCGTGCACAGCGTGAAACTGAAGACGGAGGCCAACCCAGTACAGCTGCGGCTGAGACCTCTACCGTACGCCGTGAGGGCGGCGGTGACTGCCCAGCTCGGAGCAGTGCAGCGGGACGAGCTGCTGGAAGCGACACAGACTGACCCAGTGCTGTGCCAGCTGGTGCAGCAGATCCCACGGCGGTGGCCGCGACGGCGCCGCGACTGCCCGGCAGAGCTGCAGCCCTTCTACAACTGCGGAGAGGAGCTCAGCCTAGTGGGAGACCTGGTCGTCCGTGGTCAGCGGGTGATCGTGCCGGCGGCGCTGCGGACGAGGATGGTGTCCCTGGCTCACGAAGGACATCAAGGGATCGTCCGAACTAAGCAGCGGGCTCGTGACATCTACTGGTGGCCCAAGATGGACACGGACATAGAAGAGGCGGTGAGAAACTGCGACGTGTGTGCTGACGTGGACAAGTCGGCTCGGACTCGCAGTGCGCCGCTACACCCTGTGCCGCTGCCAGGAGCGGCATGGGAGAAGGTGGGCGTGGATTTTATCGGTCCAATGGAAGCGCGCCGCCAGCACCGATACGCAGTAGTGTTGGTAGACTACTTTTCCAAATGGATAGAAGTCGGCTTCTGCACAGAACCCAGCACGGAGGCGGTGGTGCAGTTTCTGGAGACGCTAGCATCTCGAGAAGGTTACCCGAAGGAGCTGGTGTCCGACAACGGGACACACTTCACCTCAACAGCGTTCGCAGACTACCTGAGGAGTGTCGGCACGCGCCACATCCGGGTCACGCCGTACCACCCTGCCGGGTCAGGTGCGGTGGAGCGTGCGAATCGCACAGTGAAAAGTGCTCTCCAGGCGGCGGACCGGAGCGGCGAAGATCGAGCGTGTTATCTGCAGAAGTTTCTGCAGACGTACAGGAGCACGCCTCACGCCACGACGGGGCTGAGTCCAGCCGAGCTTCTGCACGGACGGAAGCTGAGGACACGTCTGCACGCGGCGGCTCTTCCCACGGACGAACCGCAAGATCGTGAGCTGCGAGACAGAGTGCAGAAGAGGCAGAAGAAGCAGAAGAGGTACGCTGACGAGCGGCGTGCAGCTGAGACACCACGGTTCCAGGTCGGCGACTGGGTCCGGTGCCGGCTGGTGCCGCGTCCCAAGAAGGGACGGCCACGGTACTCCGAGCCGAGACGGGTGGAGTCTCGCCTGGGACCAGTCAGCTACAGGCTAGATGACGGCTCCCGAATCCACGCAGAGCGGCTGACGACAGCTCGGGCGCCGCAGCAGTCTCAGGCTGAGCTGCACGTGGATCAGAGCGGCCAGCCGGGGGCTGGTCAGCGGAGTGCGGTGTCTCCGACGTCTGTGCCTCGCCGCGGGGAGCGGCTGGAGGCCGACGACTGGCGGCACGCGGAGGACGGCGTGCCACTGGAGGACGGACAGGCTGTATCACTGGGGGTCGACCGGCGGCACACCGAGGCCAGCCGGGGTCCCGCGGAGGACGGCGTGGCTGTGTCACCGGAAGACGCAGAGGACGTTCGGGAGCGGGAGGCGTCACCACCTCCGGCGACGGAGCGGCAGGCAGAGCAACAAGACGTTGGCGTACTGCTGTCGCCGCGCGAAGCAGCGAGCGGTGCCGGGCTGGTGGCGGTCGAACCTGCTCTCCAGCCGGGCGCGAGAGTGAACTCCGGGACGCAGCCGGTGAGGAGGTCCCAGCGTACGAGACGTGCGCCAAATAGACTCTAACTTTTTCCAGGGGGGAAGAATGTGGTGTTCTGTTACGGACTGGTGTCCCTCTTTCGTTCCGTACCGTACGAGTGTGCCAGTGTCACCTAGCGGCAGTTCTGTTAACTGCAGGTTGTGGGGGTGGCGCTGAGGGCGAGTGACGTGTCCGTAGGCCGGCCGGCGGGGCAGTCGGTTGGCGACGGTGGTCACGGATGGTGACGGTCTGTGCCGTGCGCGTTTTGAGTTCTTTCTTTAAACCGGACTGTATATATCGCGTGGGTGGTGCAATACACTACACACGGACTGTCTGACACGGGCCGTCTGACACGGGCCGTCTGACACGGGCCGTCTGACACGGGCCGGCTGACACGGACTGTCTGACACGGACTGTCTGACACGGGCTGTCTGACACGGGCCGTGTCCCGTTGCAGCACGACCAGCTGCTGGGCCACGAGGACCGGCTGGCGGAGATCGAGGCCGAGCTGGCGGAGCTGGACGGCGCTGGCGACCCGGAGGGCAGGCCCAGCCACCAGCAGCGGCAGTACCAGCGGCACAAGGCCGCCTTCCTGCAGGCCGAGGTCAGTCAGGGGTCGCACAGACACGGTCAGTGCGGTCATACAGAGGTCAGTAGGGGGACACTAGAGGGTCAGTGGGGTCAGTGGGGTCATACATAGGTCAGCGGGGTCATACTGAGGTCAGCGGGGTCATACTGAGGTCAGTGCGGTCATACAGAGGTCAGCAGGTCATACAGAGGTCAGTAGGGGGACACTAGAGGGTCAGTGGGGTCAGTGGGGTCATACATAGGTCAGCGGGGTCATACTGAGGTCAGCGGGGTCATACAGAGGTCAGTGCGGTCATACAGAGGTCAGTGGGGGACACTAGAGGGTCAGTGGGGTCATTGGGGTCATACAGAGGTCACTGGGGTCTCGCAGAGGTCATCGGGGTCATACAGGAGTCCGCAGGGTCGTACGTACAGACTAGAGGTCAGTGGGGCACCGGGCTATCGCACCTGAGATCGTTCAAGGAGATGGGACCCGCCGTCCCCATTCCATGTCCTCTCTGTGTACCGCGATGCTCCCCTGTACCACCGTCCCCGCCCGCCCCGGTGTCACGTGCCCCGGTGGTGCCCCCAGGCGGTGCGGTACCGCACCTACTGCCAGCTGCTGCGCTCCAAAATGGCCGCCGAGCCGCCGCCGCCAGCGCCCCTGGCGGCCGCCGCCGCAGTCTCGCCTACCGCAGCAGCCGACAGAGGGCGGCCCGGGCGGACGGCCGACAGGTACAGTTATATGCAGGCCGTGCGGGCCGGAATGGACTAGTGGCGCCGCCCTGGCGGTGGTCTCTGCTACTGCAGCTGCCCGGTCGTCCGAGAGGTGGCGGTGCGCTCGGGACTAACCCTGGTGGTCGGGACGGGTGTGAGAGTGTGTGCGGTGACGCTAACACAAGGCTGCGAGCCGCCGGGGCGGGCAGAGCTGCGGGATAGCAGTCGCAGCGAGACCGGCAGAGCTGCGGGATAGCAGTCACAGCGAGACCGGCAGAGCTGCGGGATAGCAGTCACAGCGAGACCGGCAGAGCTGCGGGATAGCAGTCACAGCGAGACCGGCAGAGCTGCGGGATAACAGTCACAGCGAGACCGGCAGAGCTGCGGGATAGCAGTCGCAGCGAGACCGGCAGAGCTGCGGGATAGCAGTCGCAGCGAGACCGGCAGAGCTGCGGCATTCGCTTGCTGTCAAACCAGGCCCTGACTCCTCCTATCTCCGTTTGACTCTGACTCTGACTCACCGCCTGACTCCCACCGTGACCATACTACCGACAATACTCTCCCGGCCTGATCTGAGACTGGTGCCCCGCCGCGGACAGACCACGGACTGCCGCCCGGCGCCGACTGGCCGGGTCCGTCCCCGTACACTGGAGGCGATCCCAGCGGGCGGGCAGCGGTCCGGCGCCGGCCGCCGGCCGCCGGCCGGTGTCTGCTGGCGGGACAAACTGCAGGGGCCAGCTGTCCCCGCGGTGAGCCGATATGCAGCCTCTGCCCCCGGCGCCGGCCGCCGGGCGGTGTCTGCTGGCGGGCACAGACTCCCCGCGGTGAGCCGATATGCAACCTCCGCCCCCGGCGCCGCGGCGCTCCGCGCTGCGCGCCCAATCGACAATAACGCCGTAACATTATCATCGATATATGCACGTATCGACAATAGCTGTACGAGACAATACGCCGACGGGTCTGTGGCCCCCATCGGTGGGCTATCGGTGGGGTATCGGTGGGCTATTGGTAGGCTATCGGTGTATCGATAATTGACGCTGGCCCGGCGCCCCCCACTCAGCGGACTGCGGCGGGGAGTCTCCGCCAGAAATCCGCAGTGTGTGGTGATATATGTCTGTAATTATCTGGACATCTGGCTACTTTTGGACCGTGTCCGGAAAATTTCCCAGTGTATGGCGATATATGTGTAAATCTCTGGACATCTGGCGACTTTTGAACCGTGTCTGGGAAATGTGCGATTGTTTTGCGCCGAGCGTCTGTGGTATACGTTGGGGAGACGCGGACGCCATATTACCGCGGCCTGCCAGCGGCTGCCGCGGCCTTCCTGTGATTATTTGACCGCCTCCAGCGCCGCCATATTGTGAGGGCCGGCGGCAGAGCCCTGCGGCTCGGTTAGTGATTATTTTACCGCCTACAGTAGGGTCATACTGTGTGCGGCGGCAGGGCCGCCGGTCCATCATTAAGCGTCCGAGGCTGAGCTGCGTGGCTGTAAGATGCTAAATGCCAGCGCACGGCTGCTCAGTGCATAGAATGCCGCGTATTGGGCGGCGGGCGCACTCCGTGCTGTTAGATCTGCGCTGAATCCCGGCTGCGGGGCGTGTCAGGTTTTTACTGAATCTCACTGGGTCGGTCCGGTTGCCAATAACGGGACGTTTCGCGGCCGGGCGCCGTGCTGACCGTGCGATGCCGCGTTCCGTAATTGTCTGATGCGCCGTGTACGGTAACGGCCGAGTGATCCGATGAGCGCGCGCCTTTTCCAAATGTCTGTGTGTTGGGCAGTGCGCCGGTCGCCGGGTTGAGTCCCGGCTCTGACGGCGCGGGGGGCGGCCGAGCGGCCAGTTTTGTAGACGCCGTGTGCCATGGAAATACATGCCGTACCGCTAGCTGAGGTGGTGGGAGGACGCGCCGCGGGACGGCAGCTGGGCGCGGCGGCCTGTCACCGGCCAGCCGTCCAGCCGCCCACCGCGGTACGGCTGACCGTACCGTCCCGGCCTGGGGCAGGGGGCGGGCCGGCCGTGCAGCGGTGCGGTCCCCTGTAGGGCGCTCTAGACGCCCATCCGTAGCTGTAGCCGAGCCTTTGTGTCTTTAGATTGCTTTAAACTCTGTTTTCTCGGTAGAGGTCTGCCTGATTTCTTATCTCGGTGATGGTGTTCTCTGAGCTAACTCTGATCCCGCACTTCACCGTCCCAAAATAACTAACAGCCGTGCTGTGCGGACCCTCTCGCCGCCGTACAGCGACTGACGCTGGTCACGGCCGCCCGCTCAGTGCCCCCGTAGTCTGTGTGGTAGATTCTACTACTCGCTATTGGCGCGGCTGGCTGCCGGGCCCCTCCACCCACTACCCCCGTAGCCTGTGTGGTAGATTCTGCGGCTCCACTAACAGCGCTGCACGGTGATGGGAGGTGACGTCACCGGTCGTACCGTCCAATCGGTGAGTGCGCCAATCTCTTTTGCCATCAGCTGACCCTGCTCCGACCGGTTAAAGACCAGTACAGACTGGCTTCGGCAGGCTTTGTATGGCCTGAAGTGTCTGATATGGGTGTAAGGTGACGTTTCCATTTGGCTAGTTTCTTCACTGTTCATGTGTGTTGCATCATAGATCTGGAGCAGCTTTTGATGAAACTTCTGAAAACTCAGCCTTATTTTTCCATGGAAAAGCAATCTTAACGAAATGCCTGAGCTTTTAATCACAAATGTTGGGTGATTCCTATTTTCCGTGTGTCTATGGGTATATGCGTTATGTATGTGTGCCATCCCCTGACCTCTCCCTTTGTACCTATCCCCGGGAGGAGGAGCCCTCTGACCTCTCCCAGTGTACCTGTACTACAATCCCCGGGGAGGAGACCTCTGACCTCTCCCTGTGTACCTGTACTACAATCTCCGGGGAGGAGGAGCCCTCTGACCTCTCCCAGTGTACCTGTACTACAATCCCCGGGGAGGAGGAGCCCTCTGACCTCTCACAGTGTACCGTAGCGCTGTCTCCGCGGAGGAGGAGCCCTCTGACCTCTCCCAGTGTACCTGTACTACTATCCCCGGGGAGGAGGAGCCCTCTGACCTCTCCCTGTGTACCTGTACTACTATCCCTGGGGAGGAGGAGCCCTCTGACCTCTCCCAGTGTACCTGCACTACTATCCCCGGGGAGGAGGAGCCCTCTGACCTCTCCCAGTGTACCTGTACTACAATCCCGGGGAGGAGGAGCCCTCTGACCTCTCCCTGTGTACCTGTACTACTATCCCCGGGGAGGAGGAGCCCTCTGACCTCTCCCAGTGTACCTGTACTACTATCCCCGGGGAGGAGGAGCCCTCTGACCTCTCCCAGTGTACCTGTACTACTATCCCCGGGGAGGAGGAGCCCTCTGACCTATCCCAGTGTACCTGTACTACTATCCCCGGGGAGGAGGAGCCCTCTGACCTCTCCCAGTGTACCTGCACTACTATCCCCGGGGAGGAGGAGCCCTCTAACCTCTCCCAGTGTACCGTAGCGCTGTCTCCGCGGAGGAGGAGCCCTCTGACCTCTCCCTGTGTACCTGCACTACTATCCCCGGGGAGGAGGAGCCCTCTGACCTCTCCCAGTGTACCTGTACTACTATCCCCGGGGAGGAGGAGCCCTCTGACCTCTCCCAGTGTACCTGTACTACAATCCCGGGGAGGAGGAGCCCTCTGACCTCTCCCAGTGTACCTGCACTACTATCCCCGGGGAGGAGGAGCCCTCTGACCTCTCCCAGTGTACCTGTACTACAATCCCGGGGAGGAGGAGCCCTCTGACCTCTCCCTGTGTACCTGTACTACTATCCCCGGGGAGGAGGAGCCCTCTGACCTCTCCCAGTGTACCTGTACTACTATCCCCGGGGAGGAGGAGCCCTCTGACCTCTCCCAGTGTACCTGTACTACTATCCCCGGGGAGGAGGAGCCCTCTGACCTCTCCCAGTGTACCTGCACTACTATCCCTGGGGAGGAGGAGCCCTCTGACCTCTCCCAGTGTACCTGCAGCGATATATCCGCGGAGGAGGAGCCCTCTGACCTCTCCCTGTGTACCTGTACTACTATCCCTGGGGAGGAGGAGCCCTCTGACCTCTCCCAGTGTACCTGCACTACTATCCCCGGGGAGGAGGAGCCCTCTGACCTCTCCCAGTGTACCTGTACTACAATCCCGGGGAGGAGGAGCCCTCTGACCTCTCCCTGTGTACCTGTACTACTATCCCCGGGGAGGAGGAGCCCTCTGACCTCTCCCAGTGTACCTGTACTACTATCCCCGGGGAGGAGGAGCCCTCTGACCTCTCCCAGTGTACCTGTACTACTATCCCCGGGGAGGAGGAGCCCTCTGACCTATCCCAGTGTACCTGTACTACTATCCCCGGGGAGGAGCCCTCTGACCTCTCCCAGTGTACCTGCACTACTATCCCCGGGGAGGAGGAGCCCTCTAACCTCTCCCAGTGTACCGTAGCGCTGTCTCCGCGGAGGAGGAGCCCTCTGACCTCTCCCTGTGTACCTGCACTACTATCCCTGGGGAGGAGGAGCCCTCTGACCTCTCCCAGTGTACCTGCAGCGATATATCCGCGGAGGAGGAGCCCTCTGACCTCTCCCTGTGTACCTGTACTACTATCCCTGGGGAGGAGGAGCCCTCTGACCTCTCCCAGTGTACCTGCACTACTATCCCCGGGGAGGAGGAGCCCTCTGACCTCTCCCAGTGTACCTGTACTACAATCCCGGGGAGGAGGAGCCCTCTGACCTCTCCCTGTGTACCTGTACTACTATCCCCGGGGAGGAGGAGCCCTCTGACCTCTCCCAGTGTACCTGTACTACTATCCCCGGGGAGGAGGAGCCCTCTGACCTCTCCCAGTGTACCTGTACTACTATCCCCGGGGAGGAGGAGCCCTCTGACCTATCCCAGTGTACCTGTACTACTATCCCCGGGGAGGAGCCCTCTGACCTCTCCCAGTGTACCTGCACTACTATCCCCGGGGAGGAGGAGCCCTCTAACCTCTCCCAGTGTACCGTAGCGCTGTCTCCGCGGAGGAGGAGCCCTCTGACCTCTCCCTGTGTACCTGCACTACTATCCCCGGGGAGGAGGAGCCCTCTGACCTCTCCCAGTGTACCTGTACTACTATCCCCGGGGAGGAGGAGCCCTCTGACCTCTCCCAGTGTACCTGTACTACAATCCCGGGGAGGAGGAGCCCTCTGACCTCTCCCAGTGTACCTGCACTACTATCCCCGGGGAGGAGGAGCCCTCTGACCTCTCCCAGTGTACCTGTACTACAATCCCGGGGAGGAGGAGCCCTCTGACCTCTCCCTGTGTACCTGTACTACTATCCCCGGGGAGGAGGAGCCCTCTGACCTCTCCCAGTGTACCTGTACTACAATCCCGGGGAGGAGCCCTCTGACCTCTCCCAGTGTATCTGTACTACTATCCCCGGGGAGGAGCCCTCTGACCTCTCCCAGTGTACCTGCACTACTATCCCTGGGGAGGAGGAGCCCTCTGACCTCTCCCAGTGTACCTGCAGCGATATATCCGCGGAGGAGGAGCCCTCTGACCTCTCCCTGTGTACCGCAGCGCTGTCCTCGCGGAGGAGCCCTCTGACCTCTCATTGTGTACCGCAGCGCTGTCTCCGCGGAGGAGGAGCTCTCTGACCTCTCATTGTGTACCGCAGCGCTGTCTCCGCGGAGGAGGAGCCCTCTGACCTCTCATTGTGTACCGAAGCGCTGTCTCCGCGGAGGAGGAGCCCTCTGACCTCTCATTGTGCACCGCAGCGCTGTCTCCGCGGAGGAGGAGCCCTCTGACCTCTCATTGTGTACCGTAGCGCTGTCTCCGCGGAGGAGGAGCCCTCTGACCTCTCCCAGTGTACCTGTGCTACAATCCCCGGGGAGGAGGAGCCCTCTGACCTCTCCCAGTGTACCTGCACTACTATCCCCGGGGAGGAGGAGCCCTCTGACCTCTCACAGTGTACCGTAGCGCTGTCTCCGCGGAAGAGGAGCCCTCTGACCTCTCCCAGTGTACCTGTACTACAATCCCCGGGGAGGAGGAGCCCTGTGACCTCTCCCAGTGTACCTGTACTACAATCCCGGGGAGGAGGAGCCCTCTGACCTCTCCCAGTGTACCTGTACTACTATCCCTGGGGAGGAGGAGCCCTTTGACCTCTCCCAGTGTACCTGTACTACTATCCCCGGGGAGGAGGAGCCCTCTGACCTCTCCCATTGTACCTGTACTACAATCCCGGGGAGGAGGAGCCCTCTGACCTCTCCCAGTGTACCTGCACTACTATCCCCGGGGAGGAGGAGCCCTCTGACCTCTCCCAGTGTACCTGCACTACTATCCCCGGGGAGGAGGAGCCCTCTGACCTCTCCCAGTGTACCTGTACTACTATCCCCGGGGAGGAGGAGCCCTCTGACCTCTCCCAGTGTACCTGCAGCGATATATCCGCGGAGGAGGAGCCCTCTAACCTCTCCCTGTGTACCGCAGCTCTGTCCTCGCGGAGGAGCCCTCTGACCTCTCATTGTGTACCGCAGCGCTGTCTCCGCGGAGGAGGAGCCCTCTGACCTCTCATTGTGTACCGCAGCGCTGTCTCCGCGGAGGAGGAGCCCTCTGACCTCTCATTGTGTACCGCAGCGCTGTCTCCCCGGAGGAGGAGCCCTCTGACCTCTCATTGTGTACCGCAGCGCTGTCTCCGCGGAGGAGGAGCCCTCTGACCTCTCATTGTGTACCGCAGCGCTGTCTCCGCGGAGGAGGAGCCCTCTGACCTCTCATTGTGTACCGCAGCGCTGTCTCCGCGGAGGAGGAGCCCTCTGACCTCTCCCTGTGTACCGCAGCGCTGTCTCCGCGGAGGAGGAGCCCTCGGCCGCCGCCGGCTCCGGCGTCACCAAGGAGCACCTGTTGTCGGCTAAGAAGCAGCGGCGCTCCACCCCGGACCAGGCGCAGACAGTGGCGGACAGCGCCGCGGGAGCAGACGGCAGCGTGTCGCCGCCGACCGGGGAGGGTGCGGCCGCAGCTGAGCGGCCGGCCACCGGTACAGCCGCCCAGGGTACTACGGCAGGCGCCTCGGCCGCCGCAGACGGTGAAGTCACCGCCAAGAAGAAGCGCCGCTGGTGGCAGAAATGAGCCGCTCCGTTAGAGGCCAAATCGCCGCGGCTGGAGGCCCGCTCCGGTAGAGGCCGAACGGCCGCGGACCGGGTCGGACTCTGTTAGAGGCCGAGCCGCGGACCGGACCGGGTCGGACTTCTGTTAGAGGCCGAGCCGCGGACCGGGTCGGACTCTGTTAGAGGCCGAGCCGCGGACCGGGCCGGGCCTGACTCTGTTAGAGGCCGAGCCGCGGACCGGGTCGGACTCTGTTAGAGGCCGAGCCGCGGACCGGGTCGGACTCTGTTAGAGGCCGAGCCGCGGACCGGGTCGGACTCTGTTAGAGGCCGAGCCGCGGACCGGGCCGGACTGTTAAAGGCTGAGCCGCGGACCGGGCCGGACTCTGTTAGAGGCCGAGCCGCGGACCGGGTCGGACTCTGTTAGAGGCCGAGCCGCGGACCGGGCCGCTGCAGGAGACCCAGCGGCCGCGGACCAGGCCGCTGTCTGCGCCTGTGTGCCCCCGCCGGCCTGTCTGGGCCGGTGTGTGTGTGTGTCTGTCTGCTCCCCAGTCCGTCTGTTTCTGTGTTACCAGCCCGCGCAGTAACACGGTGTGATTCCCGCGCTAACCCCGGCTGTGCCCCCCGGCCGGTTAGGCCGCCATTAGTCGGCGCGCCTGCCCCCCGCCCGGAGAGTTGCGTCACGGCGCCGCCTGTGTGATTTCAATGCCACCGGCTCTGCCGGATATTGCGCCGTTAGATGTGTTGGATATGACGTGAGTAGGTACTGGTAGGCGCCGCCGTGTCAGTGACCGTGTGTCTGTGTGTCTGTGTGCTGAATGTAGGTACAGAGCTACAATACAAAAACCGGCGGAAACTCTGACTGCTTCAGCGAGCTCAGGGATGTGATAGGGAGGAAAGAGACGTCCGTCGTGGCAGTGCGAGACGTGTATTGACCACAGCGGAGTCCAAGTACATACCTACACTGGCGACTAGGTGGCGCTGGCACTGGCACACGGCCCGTCCGGTCCCTGTACTGACAGGGTCACATGACCTGGCCCCTGTACTGACCGGTCCGCCGGCGCGGTCACAGAGCTCAGTACCCTGTTCAGAGTACAGTACTCAGACCAGAGACCGGCACCGGGTCCCCGCCAGGGCCGGCACCGTGTCGCAGTCAGTGGCCGGGGGGTCGGCTGCGCCCCCTCTGCGCCGCGCCGCGGGCCGACGACTCCGAGTCGTCGCTGCTGACTCTGCGGCCGGCCCGACTCTGACTCGGCAGGCTCAGTGACTCCGGACACGGGTGGAGCTCCGCCTGCCGGGACACCGAGTCGCTGAGTCAAACCACCTAGGCACAGAGTCACTGAGTCAAATAGCTGAGACACGCCGCCTAGGCACAGAGTCAATGAGTCAAACCACTGAGACACAGTCCAACCACTGAGAAACACTGTCGTAACACCGAGACACCGAGTCAAACCACTGAGTCACACTGCCAAGACGCAGCATCATATAGTCATCCCGCGGAGTCCCAGAGTCGCACTACCGAGTCACGGAGTCGCCGAGTCACGCCGCCGGTGAGTCAGGCCGTGTACCGCGCTCAGTTTACTGTCACACTGCGACTGACGTCGACTCACGCTATGACTCTGCAGCGGCTCGTGCCCGGCGCCGAGGCGCGCCCGGCCGGCCGGCGCCGGCGCCTTCCCGCCCAGGAAGCCGGCGATCCTCTGCCACAGGTCTCTCTCCGAGTCTGACAGCAACAACAGTTACCGGATCCAGTTAGGGGAGAGCGGGGAGAGTTGTATCATGTCCAAGTTGTATCAGGGCGAATTGTGCGAAACTTATCCAATTGATGGCGCTCTTGACACGACCAGCCGACGAGGTTTTCCGGGCGCCATCTTTCCCTGTTCTGTCGTGTGGCTGGGTGGACGCGTCTCGAGGTGAGAGCCGATTTTATGTTTTTTTGATGTCATTCTAAAAAAACCTAAGTTGCAAGAAAATGTGTGTTTTGGACATTTAGATGTGCACGAATTTGAAAGATCTCCGTAGCGGTGGTGAGGGTAGGTTCTAAGGCTGCGTGAGTGAAAATGGATTTCTCCAGCTGTCCGCTGTTTTTGAGCACGAGGATGTTTTTCCAAGATGGCGGCGAGGTACATGTTGTATCAGAGCCGGGTGGGGTATGTTGTAACATGTATGTATGTATGTATGGGTATGTTGCTTTTAGGTAATCGCGAAAGCTAAGCCCTGGCTCGCGTTTGTAGGTAGCTAGTCAATACTCGTTCCATTTTGGCACAATGTGTTGGCTTCTTTGCCACTTTTGCCATTTTTGCCACTTTTGCCACTTTTGCGTCTAGTCTGTTGATGTTTCGTTCGTTTCGATGTTTCGTTCGGATTGCATTGACCTAAGTTTGGTCGAATAAAAGTGAAGCCTTTGAGCATATACATTGTATCAACCCCATTTAATGTTGTTGTTATGCTCAAAACCAGTAGCAAGCACACTCCCTGAATCGTGAAATAGGTACCTAGTGATACAAATTACCCCACCATGTGATACAACTCACCCAAGCCATGGGGCAGGTTGTATCAAAAACATTGTTCTATTCGGCAGACTGTAGAAGAAAAACTGGTAGAGGTAGCGGAAAAGTTACTTGGCACAAAAAAGCAGAAGAATCAAGGAAGGAGATAGTATGGAAATAATGAGTTTATCACGGATAGTTAGGTACGAGGTTATGGGTCTCGGAGTAAAAACTGATACAACCCACCCCACTCTCCCCTATCACTTGGAAAGTGCGCACTTTACATAGCCAGAGGGTGGATACTGGATGTCGACTCCCCCGTCTGTACATACATACGCTGGATTCTGGGCTGACCCTGTCTTATAATTGCCGACTATGCCACCGGCCCCTGCCCGGCAACAGGCCAGGCCCGGGACGGCCTCGGACAGCGCCGGCTGGAGGCTGAACACGCAGCAGCCCATACATCAACGACAGCCTTTTGTGGGGAGAGATGCGTGAGCACTGAGCCCCGGACGGCCAGACGTGGCCCTGAGCCGGCACTGGTACAGAGTACCTACAGACAGGGCCGGCACTGGTACAGGGTACAGACAGGAGCCGGCACTGGTACAGAGTACAGACAGGAGCCGGCACTGTTACAGAGTACAGACAGGAGCCGGAGCCGGCACTGGTACAGAGTACAGACAGGAGCCGGAGCCGGCACTGGTACAGAGTACAGACAGGAGCCGGCACTGGTACAGAGTACAGACAGGAGCTGACACTGGTACAGAGTACATACAGGAGCCGGCACTGGTACAGAGTACAGACCCCGCCAGAGCCGGCACTGGTACAGGGTACAGACAGGAGCCGGTACTGGTACAGAGTACAGACAGGAGCCGGAGCCGGCACTGGTACAGAGTACAGACAGGAGCTGACACTGGTACAAAGTACAGACAGGAGCTGACACTGGTACAGAGTGCAGACAGGAGCCGGAGCCGGCACTGGTACAGAGTACAGACAGGAGCCGGAGCCGACACTGGTACAGAGTACAGACAGGAGCCGGAGCCGACACTGGTACAGGGTACAGACAGGAGCCGGAGCCGGTACAGAGTAAAAAGTACAGACAGGAGCCGGAGCCGGCACTGGTACAGAGTACAGACAGGAGCCGGAGCCGACACTGGTACAGAGTACAGACAGGAGCCGGAGCCGACACTGGTACAGAGTACATACAGGAGCCGGCACTGGTACACAGTACAGACAGGAGCCGGCACTGGTACAGAGTAGGTACAGACAGGAGCCCGCACTGGTACAGAGTACAGACAGGAGCCGGAGCCGACACTGGTACAGAGTACAGACAGGAGCCGGAGCCGACACTGGTACAGAGTACAGACAGGAGCCGGAGCCGACACTGGTACAGAGTACAGACAGGAGCCGGAGCCGACACTCCCGGGCGGTGTGTAACGTCACTCACGCTTGTCCTTGTGTTTCCGGTGTTTCCGCGGCCGCTTCTCGGGAAGCTCCTGGGGATCCTGGAAACACGGCACATCACACTGACGTCAGTTACCCACCGGCACGTCACACTGACGTCAGTTGTACCTAGTACCTACCTACCGTGTCCAGCATCTTGACAGCCGTACATACCGTAAAGTGGGGCTATTTGAGACAGTGGGGCTATTTGAGACAGTATTTAAAATCGCTATAAAATGAAGATCGTTTGATTTTTGTGTGATTTTTCTGCACAGGAAGGTGTGGAATCGAGCAGTAAATCGCCTGAGCAAAAAATTAAGCATGAATCTTAAGTGGTTTTTTATTTTACAGCAATTTTAAATACCTACTGTCTCAAATAGCCCCACTGTCTCAAATAGCCCCACCTTACGGTACCTTAGTTAGGCTTCTATTTAGGTATATTGGAGAGTCCAGAAGTTTAAACGTTACTACATGCTTAACCCTCGTCGGCACAGTGGGGTTGATGCAACCCCTACGGTTTTTCGCAAATAACTCGCGTAAAAAACGGCCGATCGCGACGCAACTTTCCGTACCCTCGCATTGATCACGTTTACACCTACCCTGAAAATTTCATGACCCTGACCTAAATGAGCTTTGACCTGTGACCTCTTTTCCGAGACCATGTTTGACCATGGAATCGCGATTCGGCGTACTCGTATGTCGGCTCGCATTAGCTGCGCGTTTGCAAGCTTTTCGTGGTTTCAAACGTTCAAACATGTGATTTGATGTTGCTCCCATGCATTAGGGTGGGTGTCAAGGTCACCTGAAGGTCAGGTCAGGTCATTGACCTTTGGTGACCTCGGTTTACTTTTTCGAGTTTATATGTTTCTATGCTAGTTTTTTTTAGCTGAATTCGAATTAAGCAACCATTTGAACATTAACGAAGTAGTATTGGTGCCTTCGTAACATGTTACGAAGCTGTCAGAGGCGGATTCCTCTCGTGACGGGCAACACGCTCGTTTTTTCCGAGAAGCTCTAGCTCCATCAGGGGCCAAACGCGAGGGGGGTCGTACCACCCCCCCCCCTTGTGCCGTCGAAGGAATCAAAATGGCCTGTGCCGGCGAGGGTTAATGCCATATTGCCATACTTATTGCAGTCACTGAAACGGTCATGATGAATGACGTCACGCCGATCGCTGTTCGGGCCGTATGGAAATCCCCGCCGTGAAGGACCGTATGGTAATCCCCGCCGTGAAGGGCCGTATGGAAATCCCCGCGGTGAAGGGCCGTATGGAACTCCCCGCCGTGAAGGACTCACCTCCCACAGCGGCACCTCGGCGAACTCCGGTGGCGCCGCCCTGGCGGCAGCGTCGGACACCACTGCCGGGGGCGGCGGCGCATCTCCCGTCTGCAGGTCAGCGGCGGCGGCCGGCGGCCGGCGGCGGCGGCACAGGGCCTGTGCCTGGGCCACCTGAGGACAGAGCCGACAGTGACGGCGGCCCACCGAGCAGCAGCTGACAGCGGCTCACCGATGACCGAGCAGCAGCTGATTTACGGGCCTACCTCCTCAATTATCGCGGGACACTGCCCTTCACGGATGTAAGTCTTACATGTGTCACCACTGTCCACCCGTCTACGGTATAGGTGTCGCTACTGTCAACCCGTCTGTTTTATAGGTGGCGCTACTGTCCACCGGTATGTAGTATAGATGTCGCCACTGCCCACGTACCCGCTGCTGTAGATGTCGCTGGCGGCGCCGGGCGACCTCCTGCTGCCGTGAGGTCAGCAATTCGAGCGGCGGACGACGGTCGGACGGCGACGGCGGGTGCACGAAGAAACCTCTGCCTCCGCGCAGACTGCCCAGCGTGTAACTGAGCCCGCCTGTCAAGGACACACACATACGAGGTGTAAATCAGACCGCCTCTCAGGGACAAACATATACACAGGGAGTAGGGGAGAGCGGGCCCAGTTGAAACACGGGGTCAGATGAAACATGGCTTTATTTTCGACAGTATGCAACAGATGATGGCGTTGCCGACACCACTGCGCATCCGCGCTCGACCTCTTTCTTTGTCAACAGCGTTTGGGCGGCGAACGGACGGTCATTTTATTTGGCACTTGTTTTTGTGTTTTTGAGGGGTGATTGGGAGAAATCGTGTTTGTGAATAATCTCCCCAGCCGTTCTCGAGATGTGGAAGCGAACCCCCGCGCGTGCGCACGTGCAAGCTGGACCCAAACTGACTTGTGCACGGTACCCTGCCAAACGGTCCCTAACGGTGTACCAAATTTGAGCGCAATCAGCCCAGCTGTTCTCGAGATCTGGGAGCGTAGGGGAGAGCGGGGCCAGTTGAACCACTTTTTATATATTGACATGCACAGCGAGATCTAGTTGTCATATCGAAAAATGCACAATGCCATGAAAAAATATGCTCTTTTGGCTTTATTTTAAGATACGTAAAATTATGTTTCAAACATATTTTGCTGCCAAACGCATGCTTATAAAACAGCTGTACGCCCGTTTCAAATGACCCGATGCGAGGGTCAATTGAACCAGCCCATGGGGTCAATTGCACCTATCCTTAACAATGGGATGTTTTCCTCTTTAAGGCCACTTTCTTAACCCTCGCCCGCACATGCGATTTTCCCATCCTAGAACGCACATGGGGGGGGGGGGGGGTTGCCACCCCCCGCGCCATTTCGTTCCTGTTGGAGATAGAGCTTAGCAGTAAAGACCAAAAAGATTCTTTGGGAAGAGACGAATCCAATGATACCCAGTTTTACCTTCTCAGGTCAGTCATTGACCTTCCAGGTCAGGTCAAACTAAAAAATGTTGCTGTTTTGGGTCACCGTTGGATATCAAGTGTGCTGCTTATCAAATACCGATGACGATGCTGTTTTCTGGTGCCAAGCCAGCTAGAACCCCTTTGTCACACTACCCGACCAGAATTTTGCTGCTGAGGTCATTTCAGGTCAAGTTAGGTCAAGGTCAATTATATGTGTTTGTATGTCTGTGTGTGTCTGTGTCTATACTGATGTGTGCACCGATTGTTTTTGGGTCCATATTACATGAAATCATGATCTGAGAAGCTTTTACCAAAAATGCAGTCAAAAACTTCAAAAAAAGTAAATTTAGCTTGCCTAAAACGCAATTATCTTAGATGACCTAGGTTGACCTTGACCCTGACCTTGACCCCTGTACATCGTCGAACAACATGTTCCATGATAGGTGGGAGGTAAGACTGGCAAAAAAAGCCGAAATCAGGGTGTCAAAAGCTCATAAGGCCCATGGCAAACGCAAGATGTTGAGAATTGGCCATTTAGGTCATGACATGACCTGAAAAACAAGGTCATATCTCCGAAACTAAAAATCACAGAAACTTGAAATTTTCAGTGGACATCAAGAAAGGATAGAGGAGCAGCTATACGAAAAATCAGCCTTCTAGCTTAAAAAATGTTGAGTGCAGAGCAGAAAGACTACCTGGGGGGTGGCAACCACCCCCCCCCCCATGTGCGGGCGAGGGTTAAGGAGATATTTTGTCCGGTTTACTTTTCCAAATGCTACATTCAATAGGTCGTTGGAAAGCTAAGAGTGCAAAGTTCCTCATAATAGGTGACATAAAGTACATAGACTATGGTAAAATGGGCGGATGAGAAAAATGAGAAATAGCTCAGGCTATAGTGTGCTTTCAAGCAAAAGGCTGGAGAAAAAGGGGTCAAAAATTGAGCTCTATTAAACTACTACCGGGTGGCCCAGAAAAAACGTTCCCAACTTTAAATCATTATTTCTCAGAAAGTGATAAAGATACAACATTGAAACTTCGAATAGTCAATGCGGCACACATTTTCAGTAAATGGTGTGATTTTTATGTTATTCGGTCAATTACTTTTTAAACGGTTCGTGTTTCTAACATGCCATGTAAAAATCACTTTTTTGCTCTGATGTTTACCAAAAATGTGAGTGAACGGGCCACTTCCATCTCGGCACCACGGCCTACAGCCATGACTGCTACTGGCAACTAGTGTCATTGGTGGTTCAGGCCTCAGGGTGACACATTCCCTCTAGCTTTTTTCCTTTTTCGGTCGATTTACTATTTGATCTTCTTGAAGGGAGGGCGATCAGCAGTAGGTAACCCATGCACCGTGCCACTCCTTCGCCTTGAAACAGAACTTGTGTTGAAACGAATGGCATCCATTAACACAACTTTGGCTTAGTATTTGAATATTTAGCACATAAGTGTGACAAAAAAATAATAAAATAGCAACACACGTGCTGGTATCATTCAAGCCGTTCTATTTTTTGTATTTTTTTCTAACATTGTACGTCTAAGCCAATCATTACTTCCGTTCAACAACGGCAAAAAAAGCAAAAACGTCTTACTTCATTCAACATAAGATTGCTGGCTTGAAAATGATGTTACAGTGTTATAATTTGGCATACCAATGCGCAAAGAAGTGACGCAAACTTGATGAAAATTTTGGCTCGTTATTTGCACTCGAATTTGAGATATAGGCCTCCAAAGTTCGGAACGTTTTTTTTGGGCCACCCGGTATTTCAGTTTAAAAGCTCATTTTAAAGGTGGACTATTTCCTTTAATGTTTACAGCCCCTGAACAATAACCATTGCAAAGGTCACCGGGGTCCATTGAAACGGCCTGTGGCCCTGTTTCAACTGACCCTCAGAGAAGCGTTTCAATTGACCCCATCCGCTCCCGCCATCTCGCACGCGCCGTAAAGCACATGTCAAACGAGCTGGAGGGACGGCATCATGCTGAATGAAGGGCCAAATAAGGTGTTATTCCGGAGCCAGGAGATCTTCTTTTAGCAAACAAAGGTATATGAGATATCACAAAATATTCATAAGAACGATTTCTCCCAAACGCCCCTCATAAACACAAAAATAAGTGTCAAATTAAAATTACCGTCCGTTTGTCGCCCAAACGCCGTTGACAAAGGAAGTGGTCGAGCGCGGATGCGCAGTGGTGTCGGCAACGCCATATGTTGCATACTGTTGAAAATAAAGCCATGTTTCATCTGACCCCGTGTTTCAACTGGCCCCGCTCTCCCCTACCCTGCGCGTGCGCACGTGCAGCAGCACCCCAACTGTGACACGTGGAAAGGCGTTGTCATTTGCATGTCCGCCGACACGCCAAGTTTCAGCTCAATCAACCCAGTCGTTATAAAGTTATTGTTGATCGAACACATTTGTCACCACTTAGTTGGCACGTGGCGCGTGCTTTGTCCCTCACCCTATGACTTTGTGCTATGTTCAAGTGATTAAACTTGGCCGCTTCTACATTGTAGACGCAGTCTCGTTCCGTTCCGTCGTGTTATTTACGAGAAAGAAGTTAAAAAAAACTTTCGCGTTCTCCCCATAGACAAGGCATTGTGTCATTAGTTCGTGCCCTTACACGTACGGTGGCGCTAGTGTCGCTCAGCGGGAACGGCATTCAGGCAGTGATTAACCTTCCAGGCGGTGGGGGGATTTTTTTGCCCCCCCCCTTTAGTTTTTTTTCAATATATCTCGAAAACCGCTGCGCCGATCGTCACCAAACTTTCAGTACCCTCCCGGGAGCAGCTAGCGCACATGGTGACCAATTTTTTTTCCAAAGGCTGTGATAGGTTGGCCGCTAATGACGTCAGAGTGACGTCATTTTTGCCATTTTCGACCCAAAAAAAGGTTTCGCGAGAAGAGCTGTCAGGCCTACAGCTTTAGAGATACAGAAAAATGTTTCAGACATAAAAGGTGTGGAATCAAAAGGGCTACAAAACTGTTGTTTCGGTTTCTTGAATTTTATGGATTTTGACCCTAAAAAACCAAAACATAGATTTTTTTTTAATATAATAGCCAAAAATTCCAAAAAGTTTTCTGAATTTAGAAAAAAACCGGTATATATGTGATAGTCCTTACCACCTTCTATCTACATACCAAATTTGAGATCGATTCCTCTTTTTTGGCCAAGTTATAGCGAAAAAACTGTTCAAAATTGATGACGTTATTTTCAAACTCCATTTTTAGCAATTCTAGACCTCGTAGCGCAAACAAAGTCCACCATTAGACTCCCCGTGACGAGCTGCATCGAATCGATGCCCATTTTATGAAAAATATCAAATTTGAAATTTTACCTTTTTTGACCTGACCTTGACCTCCACCAGAAAGTGACCTAAACCGTACCTGATGGTCTTATAACCAACACCATTCAGTTGGAAATGAAAAACTGGCCATAAAACATGCATCGCATAACCTCAGTAAAGTTGGGCTCATGTGGTGACCCTAGGTGACCTTTGGTGACCTGACCTGTCACCTGGCCTGGTATGACCAGTGACCTCTAATAGCAACATATGTACTAGGCAACTGACGCCTTATCGCTGATTTTCGACAAAATGCGTTTTTCTCGGTGTTATAGCGCTTTCCCTAGGAGCCCCGTGAACGGTGAAACATTTTATCTTTGACCTGACCTGTGACGTCATCGGTGACCCCGAGGTCAATGAAATTTGGTTTCCTTCAACAAATTTGACAGGGCTATGAAACGCCGTTTGAATTTTCCGGATCCGTCCAGTAGTTTCGGAGATACTGGGGGGGGGGGCAAAAAAATGCCCCCCCCCACCGCGCGGAAGGTGGCTGGTAGGCCCACCGCCTGCCGGGTTAACCCGCGCCCTAATGGCGGTCTCAGCCAACTTCGCCCTAGTGGGGGGGGGGGCATATATTACCACCCACCTCTAACTCAAAAACTAAGAGGGCTAGAAAGACGCGGTAAAAAGCAGTCGATAGCTCTCAATGCGTACGTTTGAAAGTATTCAGTCATTTTTCATCTAAGAGCAACATTGGAGTCACCAGAGGTCATCAAAGGTCAAAATTTGCCAATGGTCATTATATTTTTCAGAAAACATGCCGATATCTCAGGAACTATGGTAGCTAGAAACACGCATGGAAAAACAATCGATAGCTTTTGAACTCTTCTTTTGAAAAGTTCATTTATTAAAATTGACCTCAGGTCAACGGTTTAGCCTCCAGAGGGCAAAAACTCCAAGAATAGCTATTTTTACGAAGTGTTTTTCGACAATAGCTTTCGATTACAAAAAGCCACGACATTTCTATTGTCAGAATCGTGTTCCTCTCGCCAAGACGCGTCGAATGAACTTTAATTTGACCTTGAAAGGTCAACTTGAAAATTTGACCTCAGGTCAAGGTCATGACCTGACCGGAAAAGGTCATGTTGCAAATCAGTCGATGTGTCGCAACAAGACAAACACAATGAGACCATCCCCAGCGTTCTATCTCTTTCCAATCGCGAGTTATTGGCAAAAAGCTGTTTGTGGCCTCAAATGACCTCGGATGACCTTTCTAGAGGCTATCAGCAAAAATGACACCTTCGGGTCATCACGGGTGGTCCTAATCTTGTGATTGTGAAATATTTGGACTGTTCCTATGCGTACACACGGATCTAGAGGCATTTTCATTTTTATCCGTTGACTTGTAATGGAAAGGTCATGCCACTGACCTGACCTTAGGTCACGGATATAAACAATCCGAGATATACAAATTGTAGGCGCCCATAACGTCATACAACCCAGCAGGTTTAAAACTTTTCTGATAAACACTGCACAGGCTGGACATGATTGTAAACTTTTTTAGGCTTGGTCAGTTAACTTGACCTGGTGACCTGACCTGACATGACCTGGGGTAAAAAAATGTCACACATTGTCCAAAATTGATGTACAAAAAGCAACTCCAAGCGGCGCGGCGCTACGCGCCGCGGTTTTTTATTCACACGCAAAAAACGCGACAGGGTGGTAACATATTCCCCCCCACTGGGGCGAAGGTTAACCCGCGAGTTGCTGGGGGGCGTTAAACGCCCCCACTTTTTTCGCCGGGCCATAGCATAGAAACGGCGCGCCGCAGGCGCGCCAAATTTTTGGTACCTGTAGGGAAATAATTGAAGTTAATTGTGACAAAGTTTCAAAAAAATCGGTTGGAATTTTTTTTGGGATATCGAGGTTTTAGTGTCGTCATGATTTCTGAGTTTTCGACCAAAAACGGCATATGTTCAAAAAATCATATAAAATCACAAGATAGACATACAGACATGCCGTAAACGCCATTAGACTGCCAATACCATGAACAATTAAATGGCTATCTTCGATTATTGATAATCGCTCCGATTTTTCCAAAATTTTGAACTGAATCATGGCTATTTCTCGTGACTACTTCACGATCATGAAATATGCATTTCCTAAATTGAAGTTTTTGAGCCAAACACGTACACATATGATAAAATGAATGTCACCATCGTGTTCTACGCCCCAAATTACCCATAAAACATGTGTCACAGGCTGCGAATATCAGTTTTGATTTTCGGGGATATGTGCCTACCCGGTTGACCTGACCTTTACCCTGACCTGACCTATGCTTGACTGACCCCTACATAGAGCTGACACTCTTGTAGGCCTTATATGATGGATTGCGCGCCGTTTTGACAGAGTTTATGACGAGAGGCGCCCATTGCTAAGTCCTGAAGTCCATGCTGCTGAAAGCCCGATTTCAGGTGTTTGACCTGACCTTGACCCGACCTGTGACCTCAAAATTCAACTGTAAAGTACTCATCTGAAGCGTCTCGTCGCGTTCTTTCGTTTGCCGCCTCGTGCGTTTCGCTGCGCCTATTGGTTCTCGAGTTATCGGCTGGGGGCGTTTAACGCCCCCCCCCCCCCCCAGCAAACGGTGGGTGGCGAAATACCCCAGCAACTGTCGGGTTAAAACACTGAAATAAATTCATAAGATGAAGATATTTGCTGTAAGAGAAATTAGGTGCAGATTTGGTCAAATCAGGCGCATTCGCCGGCTAGCCCGTCGTGAAAACGGCTAATATATAGTTATCTACGAAAGGTTAATTAGATTCTCATCACGCTTTATATTCGGAGATTCTTTGCACCTATGTTCTGTATCCGGTGTCAGGAACAAGAGTCGATTTAGGTATCTACCAGCGGGAGAGCCGATTAATGGGGGGGGGGGGGCAAAAGATAGTATGTCACACCCAACAATTTGGTTGGGGGGACATGTCCCCGCCCCCCGGTGGCGGAGCCCTTGGACTTATAAGCGAAAAACTTTGACATGTTTTTAGCGAAATTTTTACATTCATAACTCCCAAGTCAAAACCCCCCTAAATAATGACCTAGAGCAACCAAATTTGCACAGGGGGCGAGACTCCAGGGGGCCCACCTAGTACCTACCTACCAAATTTGGTGTTTTTAGGTGCTTTAGATATGAGCCATTCGCGAGGGGGTCGCATCGAACCCCCCCTGCCAGGCCGTGTTATGAAAAATGCCCTGCCAGGGCGAGGCCTGTAAGTCAATAGGAGAATATTGAAATGCTCTTCTTTTGGATAAAAACACCCTCAAACATAGGGACATAAGTGAACATTTCACACTGAATCTAAGAATTGCACCTATGCCCCGTTTAATACCCCTGAGGTCATTATTTCAGGTCATGACACGTCCCCAACAGTTTTTTTTTTTACAATAACTTTAGATAGAAAGTGAAACACGCTAGAGCACTGAAAACACCACGGATGAATTCAGCCCAACTATACCTATGAATCGACTGATATGCAGCATGATCTTTTCTGTGACCTTTACCTGATATCAAATTTTAAGTTGACCTTTTCAGGTCAATTTATAGTTCACTCGCCTCGTCTCGACGAGAGGAACGCGGTGCCGGTAGAGTTAGCGTAACACAAGCTTGGTGTCATAAATTTTGACAGAAAAACGTTTTCCGCAAACATGTCAAATTCTGAGTATTTGCATTCCGGAGGATAAACCGTTGACTAAGGTCAAAGCTGAGACAAGAATCAGAAAAGGCCTTTGGAAGAGCATTCGAATGCGCTTTTCTCGATTGGTTCCCGTCTTATGCGCCGATTTGTGAAAAGTCGTGAAAAGCTGGAACCAAGATTCATGATAATTTTGGTGACCCCAGCTATGACCTGTTCGAAAATGGCCTGAATGATGCTAAGAAATTGTATAGTGACCTATTTATTGTTCTTAACTGCGTCTTCCTAGCTTGCTTCGAGATAATCTGACGCGACCCCGCGCCATGGCGAAATTGGCCGTGAGGGCCATTCGGGCGCGGGCTAAGCCTACCGCTTGGGTCATCGTTCATAATCTTGTTTTCTTTTGCCACGCCTGCACAAAGATCCTCACCTGTTGTCCTTTTGACGGCGAGCACAAACTGGTCGGGCGCCACCTCCCTGCCGAGCGCCCTGTCGACGGCCTGCCGCGGCTCCTCCTCGCTCGCCAGCAGGCCCGCGCAGGCCGCCAGCCGACTGGCGCCGCCGCCGGCGCGGCGCACACGCGGGAAGTTGCGCTCGGCCCAGCTGCGCTCTGCGCGCCGCGCGCCGCTGCGCTCCACGGCCCGGCGCAGAGAGCGCACGGCCCGGCCGGCGGCAGCGCAGCTCACCGGGGGGCCGCCGGCGCCGGCCGCCGGCTTGGAGGCCACTGGTGGCTGAGAGGAAATGGAGGTGCGGCTCGCAGGCCGCAGAGCCGGGTCGGAGACCGAGGTTTGCATCTCCAACAACAAGTACCGGTAAAATGGAGCGAGAGTCAGAGGAATCCGGTCTAAACTTACGGATTTACGGCCATGATCAAGGAATAAACAGTTTTTAGGAGGGCTACGATGTGTTAATTTAATCATACACTAAATCAATAATTTTACTCAACTGCGTAGTTTACAAAACATACAAAAGTTTAAATACCACTCGTAAATTTTGAGATCGAGACAGTGTTTGATAAAGTATGTGGTCGTCGTGGTCGTTTTAAAAATGGGTCTCGATATTTTCTGACAGCGCACGTGTCGTGATCGCTGGGATCAGCTTGCAGTAAGAGGAACATTCCGTGCAATCTGGCTACTTCGATTATCCTAAGTGGCAAATCGAAGCCAGAAAACTTACGTGTGAGATAGTACCTACCAATCAGGGACCTTGGTATCCCGATCAAAATAGATCAAATGGCCCATGCTGTTTGGCTCCCACAGCGGGGTCGGTGGTATTGGTAAATAGAGCCGCTCCCTCAGCCGGGTCGGTGGTAAATAGAGCCGCTCCCTCAGCCGGGTCGGTGGAGCCCCTCCCTCAGCCGGGTCGGTGGTAAATGGAGCCGCCGAGTCGCTGGTACGTCTTTGGCGGGTTTCACAAACCTCCCGTCCATCTCTGACAGTGTATTTGACGTCATGGCCCACAGTCGAACAGAGGTCACACATTGCAGTGGCGGCCGGCGACAAACGACGGCCATTTTACGGCAGCGATTTAACGGCAGCGGTCCAACAGCAGCCCGCGTACCAACGACCGAGCTGCCACAGACACAGGCATGCTCCCGACAGCTCTTGGTTCCTGCCTACAGACACGGATTATCTGCTTCTAGTCCTGGCTTCCTGCCTATTTTCTGGCGCCTATCGTATTCTGCTTTGAGGTCCTATATGCACACTGCGGGCTAAATGCGCCGTTTTATTGAGCATACGTCACTCTCTGTTCCACTTGTTCCAGCAGCTCCATTCACAGTTTAGTTTTAACTTATCCTCCGGATCGGTACCGCGGCTTCACTGGCTCACTGCGCCACCGGGTCCCTGCGCCACCGGGTCCCTGCGCTACCGGCTCCCTGCGTCATCGGGTCCCCAGAGTCGCTGTGATGTCACTGACTGTCTGCGTCACTGGTCCCTGCGTTATCGGGTCCCCAGAGTCGCTGTGACGTCACTGGCACCCCGGAGACACTGGCACCCCGGAGGCTCTCTGACGCCACTGGCTACCTGAGTCACTGGCTCTCCGGTGTGACTCTGAGGGCGCTGGTCTGTCCATTCAGCTCCGACTCGGACTCGGACTCGGACTCGAGTCGCCGCGCCTCTCGCCGAGTCTGCGACTCCTCTGCCTCGGCTCCTCCCCCGCGCCTCCTCCGCTGGTCCTCCTCCTGCTCCGCGCGCCTCCGCGCCTCCTCCTCCTCCTCCTCTGCGCGCCTCCGCGCCTCCTCCTCCTCCTCCTCTGCGCGCCTCCGCGCCTCCTCCTCCTCCCGCTCCTCCCGCTCGGTGCTGAGGAACCAGTCCTCGTCGAATGAGGAGGTCATCCAGTCCTCGGCCGGGCCGTCCCCGTCCCGCGGCGTCCCGCTGAGGTCCGAGTCGGCCTCGTCTGTTCCGCGGGGACTGCTGTCGGCCCCGTCTGGCCCGCCGGAGCAGCTGCGGATCCTCTCGGAGCTGCGAGGGCTGCTGCCGGCCCCGTCTGGCCCGCGGGGACTGCTGTCGGCCGGCTCCGGCCCGCCGGAGCAGCTGCGGGCCCTCTCCGAGCTGCGAGGGCCGCTGCCGAGGCCCGCGGCGGCCGGCCGCTGGTCGACGCCGACGGCCAGTCTGCGCAGGCTGTCCAGCGTCTCAGCGAGGCCCGGCTGTGGCCCGGCCCGCGGTACCGGTACCTGTGGTACCCGCGGTGCCTGCGCTGGGGCGGCCGGAGCGGCGGCGGTCGTCAGCCAGGAGCGGTCCTTCCGACCCGGCTCCGCCCCCGCCCCCGCCCCCGCCCCCGCCCCCGCCGACCGGGGGCCGCCGGCTGGTCCGCCCTGGCAGCCCGAGTTTGGCTGCCTCTTCTTCTTTTTGGCCGCCTCAGCCATCATCACCTGTGGTAAATAAGTGTGAGACGGACGGTAAATGGGCGTCAGACGGACGGTAAATGGGCGTCAGACGGACGGTAAATGGGCGACAGACGGACGGTAAATGGGCGTCAGACGGACGGTAAATGGGCGTCAGACGGACGGTAAATGGGTGAACGGACGTCAGAAGGATGGTCAGACTGCACGGCGTAAGCGCCTCAGACCAGTCCAGAACACCTGGGTCGGCCCGACAGCTGCTGCGAATGGCACACACCTGTGGCACGGGGCTGGGAAACATACCCAACCCTAACCCATCTGTGGGTAATTCCGCAGTGCACACCATGTCTGTGAGCAGGCGACCTGAGCACCCACTGACCGAGAGTGGCACGCCGAACAGGCCGGCGGCGGCGCCCGGCCCCCCGCCGGCCGCGGCGGGGTCGCCGGCGCAGACGGGCCGCCCGGCGCCGTCCAGGTCGTAGCAGCCGGGCGTGAGGTAGTCTGTAGGCCGGCCGTCCTCCTCCTCCTCCTCCTCCCCCGAGGAGCGGCCCGGGGACGGCGGGGAGGACGGCCTGGAGGACGACGGGCCGCCGCCGGCCGCCGCCGGGCCCTGCCACCGAGCTGAGGGCACCGCCGGCGTGGGCGAGAGGTCAACGGACGGCACACAGCAGTCAAAGGCCAACAGAGGGCAACAGAGGGCACACAACGGAGGTCAGATCACACATCATTATTACTAATTTCCAAGCTTCCATGAACTTTTATAACACTGTCCCATAGCGTGCTGTCCGTGTCCCACTTTCCCACTGTCCTGCTGTCCCTCTGTCCCACAGTCCCGCCGTCCTGCTGTGAGCTGTCCCACTGTCCCTCCGTCCCGTGTCCTGCTGTCCCTCCGTCCCGTGTCCTGCTGTCCCTCCGTCCCGTGTCCTGCTGTCCCTCCGTCCCGTGTCCTGCTGTCCCTCCGTCCCGTGTCCTGCTGTCCCTCCGTCCCGTGTCCTGCTGTCCCTCCGTCCCGTGTCCTGCTGTCCCTCCGTCCCGTGTCCTGCTGTCCCTCCGTCCCGTGTCCTGCTGTCCCTCCGTCCCGTGTCCTGCTGTCCCTCCGTCCCGTGTCCTGCTGTCCCTCCGTCCCGTGTCCTGCTGTCCCTCCGTCCCGTGTCCTGCTGTCCCTCCGTCCCGTGTCCTGCTGTCCCTCCGTCCCGTGTCCCGCTGTCCCTCCGTCCCGTGTCCCGCTGTCCCTCCGTCCCGTGTCCCGCTGTCCGTCCGTCCCGTGTCCCGCTGTCCCTCCGTCCCGTGTCCTGCTGTCCCTCCGTCCCGTGTCCCGCTGTCCCTCCGTCCCGTGTCCCGCTGTCCGTCCGTCCCGTGTCCCGTGTCCCGCTGTCCTGTGTCCCTCCATCCAGCTGTCCCACTGTCCGGCCGTCCCACTGTCCCACTGTCCCACTGTCCCACTGTCCCGCTGTCCCACTGTCCCACTGTCCCGCTGTCCCGCTGTCCCGCTGTCCCGCTGTCCTGCTGTCCCGCTGTCCCTCTGTCCCACTGTCCCACTGTCCCGCTGTCCCACTGTCCCGCTGTCCCGCTGTCCCACTGTCCCACTGTCCCACTGTCCCACTGTCCCGCTGTCCCACTGTCCCACTGTCCCGCTGTCCCGCTGTCCCGCCGTCCCGCTGTCCCGCTGTCTCGCTGTCCCGCTGTCCCGCTGTCCCGCTGTCCCGCTGTCCCTCTGTCCCGCGTCCCACCATTGGCGGTGTGCGGCGCCTTCAGCCGCTCGCCGACGCGCCGGGCCGGCCGGCGCGCCGCCAGGAACCTCCGCTTCACGCGGCTCGACCAGCGGCAGGTGGTGGCGGCCGGCGGGTCGGCGGCCGCGGCGCCGGTCACCAGCTGCCCACAGTAGCAGACAGTCAGCAGACAGTCAGCAGACAGTCAGCAGACAGCCAGCAGACAGTCAGCAGACAGTCAGCAGACAGTCAGCAGACAGTCAGCAGACAGTCAGACAGCAGACAGTCAGCAGACAGCCAGCGGACAGTCAGCAGACAGTCAGCAGACAGTCAGCAGACAGTCAGACAGCAGACAGTCAGCAGACAGTCAGACAGCAGGCAGACAGCAGACAGGCAGACAGCAGACAGGCAGACAGCAGACAGGCAGACAGCGGACAGTCAGCGGACAGCGACAGCCAACAGGCAGACAGCAGACAGCGGACAGTCAGCGGACGGTGATAGGCGGACAGCGGATAGTCAGCGGACAAGTGGCAGACAGGGACAGTCAGTGGCAGGCGTCAGCGGACAGTAAACGGACAGACAGCAGACAGCGCAGACACTGGTAAACAGAGAGCGGACAGGGGCATTATCAGTTGATAGACACTCGTGTCTGTGTCTTCTGTGTGTCTGTGTGTCTGTGTCTTCTGTGTGTTTGTCTGTATGTCTGTGTGTCGGTGAGTCTGTGTCTGTGTCTGTGTGCAGTCTGTAGTTACTGTACCGCCTGCAGGGAGCTGATGGCCTCCTGTGTCTGTGTCTGTGTATGTTCAGTCTGTAGTTACTGTACCGCCTGCAGGGAGCTGATGGCCTCCTGTGTCTGTGTCTGTGTATGTTCAGTCTGTAGTTACTGTACCGCCTGCAGGGAGCTGATGGCCTCCTGTGTGTCTGTGTGTCGGTGAGTCTGTGTCTGTGTATGTGTGCAGTCTGTAGCTACTGTACCGCCTGCAGGGAGCTGATGGCCTCCTGTGTGGCTCTGGGCCCGCCGTCGACCGCTCTGGCCGCCGGCTGCGGTGTGGGCGGCGACACGTCTCCTCCGGCCGGGTCCTTGGTGCGCAGCTCCCGCGGGATCTGACGGAGGCACAGACAGCGCCGGCGGCCCGTCAGCAGTCCGCCCCATCAGCGCCAACTCCGGTACCTGCTCCAGTAGGTACTAGATACCCCCGGTTTTCTGCCATCCTGTGCCAATTGCCCTGGGTTTCCAGCGATTTCATTCTATCACCTCTGGGGCACCAACTCCCAGTGATCTCCCCTCATTATTTTTGGGTTTTTGGCCTGGCCCTACTCCATCACCTTTCGGTTTCTGGATGTTCCATCCATTACTTCTGGTTCCCCACTGGGTTTCCTCATGCCATTTCCTCAAAGTGTCCAGGGACGCCTGCAATATTTCTATTTTCGGATGGGTTTCCCAGTGGTCTCCTTCTTTGACCCTTGGTCTCCCGGTGAGTTGCCCTCCATTACGCCTGGGCTCCCGGTGGACTGTCCCGGTGGCTCTCCCCCGTTACCTCTGGCATCCCGGTGGGTTGTCCCTCCATTTCCCTTGGTCTCTCGGACGGCTCTGCTCTGTCCCCCGTTACCTCCGGCCTGCCGGTGGCTCTCCCCTGTTACCTCCGGTCTGCCGGTGGCTCTCCCCCGTTACCTCCGGTCTGCCGGTGGCTCTCCCCCGTTACCTCCGGTCTGCCGGTGGCTCTCCCCCGTTACCTCCGGTCTGCCGGTGGCTCTCCCCCGTTACCTCCGGTCTGCCGGTGGCTCTCCCCCGTTACCTCCGGCCTGCCGGTGGCTCTCCCCCGTTACCTCCGGTCTGCCGGTGGCTCTCCCCCGTTACCTCCGGTCTGCCGGTGGCTCTCCCCCGTTACCTCCGGTCTGCCGGTGGCTCTCCCCCGTTACCTCCGGTCTGCCGGTGGCTCTCCCCCGTTACCTCCGGCCTGCCGGTGGCTCTCCCCCGTTACCTCCGGTCTGCCGGTGGCTCTCCCCCGTTACCTCCGGCCTGCCGGTGGCTCTCCCCCGTTACCTCCGGCCTGCCGGTGGCTCTCCCCCGTTACCTCCGGCCTGCCGGTGGTGTCCGGGGGGACGAGTCTGCCCAGCGTCACGGTCCGGCGCGCCAGCTGCTCCCGAAACGAGTCCACCAGGGCGCGCGTCCTGCTCAGCTGGTGCTGGATACCTGCCGCCAGATACAGATACAGATACAGATACAGAGGCATCCACCAGGGCGTGCGTCCTGCTCAGCTGGTGCTGGATACCTGCCGCCAGATGCAGATACAGATACAGATACAGAGGCATCCACCAGGGCGCGCGTCCTGCTCAGCTGGTGCTGGATACCTGCCGCCAGATACAGATACAGATACAGATACAGATACAGATACAGATACAGAGGTATCCACCAAGGCGCGCGTCCTGCTCAGCTGGTGCTGGATACCTGCCGTCAGATACAGATACAGATACAGATACAGATACAGATACAGAGGTATCCACCAAGGCGCGCGTCCTGCTCAGCTGGTGCTGGATACCTGCCGTCAGATACAGATACAGATACAGATACAGAGGTGTCCACCAAGGCGCGCGTCCTGCTCAGCTGGTGCTGGATACCTGCCGTCAGATACAGATACAGATACAGATACAGATACAGAAGATTCCACTAGAGCGTGCGTCCTGCTCAGCTGGTGCTGGATACCTGCCGTCAGATACAGATACAGATACAGATACAGATACAGATACAGATACAGATACAGAGGTGTCCACCAAGGCGCGCGTCCTGCTCAGCTGGTGCTGGATACCTGCCGTCAGATATAGATACAGATGCAGATACAGATACAGAGGTATCCACCAGGGCGCGCGTCCTGCTCAGCTGGTGCTGGATACCTGCTGTCAGATACAGATACAGATAAATACAGACAGATACAGGTAGAGAGATTTATGCAGTTACAGATGCAGATACATAGAGACAGATACAGAGAGATAGTGTATATCACATAGAGATACAGGCAGGTGTATATGTACCTGTTCATTATACATACCTATGTGTTATACCTACATACATAACAATATATTGCATGCATATACGTATAAATACATACAGATACATTTACTCAGATACACACCATGAGCATTGAACAATCACGTGACGTCTGACCTGTGTCGTCGGCTTTGGGCCTGACCCGGCCCAGGGCGGCCTTCACTTGTGACGTCATAGTAAACAGGTTCACCAGGTGTTTTAGCACGTCCACCAGCTGAAAAAACAGCCGCCCGGCGGATACACAGAACGTCACAGTGCACACGTTTACCAGGATATCATGTCCGTCAGCCGGACGAAAAAAGAATGATCACTGCAAGTGCAGTCTGCATGTGCGCACGTGCACTGTGTAATGCAAGACCGTGGCAAGACTAATCGTAGCCGGTAGCATACGGAAATGAATCGCCCGCCTGTAAGCCAGGTTTCGATGTTGCCCAGTATCCCCACTATCTACGGGTGATGACGATCACATAGGCGTAGGAACAGGGGGGGCCAGGTGGGCAAGTGCCCACCCACTTTTCGAGGTGGGGGGGCCAACTATGTGTTTTGGCCCACCCACTTTTTACTCGAGGCCCCTCGTCTCGATTTGAGAGGACGTCGTCACCTTCCAGAATAAACAAGCTCGGTAAAAATAAGTTCCACGAATCCCCACGCACGGACTCCAAGGGGCCGTGATGGATCCAAGGAGCCCCTCTGTTCATACTTGTCAGTCGAAGCCCCTGAGACTGATGGCCTGAGAGGCCCTAGTGGATCTGAGGAGGCCCCAATATCCACACTGGTCTGGGGAGGCCCCTGACACTGGCGGTCTGGGAGGCCCCTCTATCCACACAAGTCAGAGGTCTGAGACTGGTGGTCTGGGAGGCCCCTCCATCCACACTAGTCAGAATAGGCCCTTGACACTGGCGGTCTAGCCGAGGCCCCCTACCCTCACTAGTCAGAGGAGGCCCCTCTATCCTCAATAGTCAGAAGAGGCCCCTGAAACTGATGGTCTGGGAGGCCTATCCATCTACACGGAGGCCCCTGAGACTGATGACCTGAGGGGTCCTTATAATCACACCAGGCAGAAGAGGCCCATAAGACTGATGGACTGAGAGGCCCTTCTATTCATACTGGCCACAGGAGACCCCCAAAACTTTCGGTCTGGGAGGTCCCTCAATCCGGCACCAGTCAGAAGAGTCCCCTGATACTGATGGCCTGGGAAGCCCTTATATTCACACTAGGCAGAGGAGGCCCCTGAGACTGATGGCATGAGAGGCCCTCATATTCACACCAGTCAGAAGAGGCCCCCGAGGCCGATGGCTGTGAGGCCCTTCTGTTCATATAACTGGCCACTGGAGGCCCCTGAAACCGGTGGTCTGGGAGGGCCCTCTATCCACACTAGTCAGAAGAGGCCCCTGAGACCGATGGTCTGAGAGGCTCTTATATTCATACTGGCCACAAGAGGCCCCTGACACTGATAGTCAGAGAGGTCCACTCCTAATGAATCTGAGGGGGCCCTCTATCCACATTTACACTTTTTTTAGGGAGGTCCCCGAGGCTGATGGTCTGAGAGGCCCTTTTATTTATAGTTTATACTGTTCACAGGAGCCCCCTGAGATTAATGGTCTGAGAGGCTCCTCCATTTATACTTACCAGAGGAGGCCCCTAGGATTGATGGTCTAACAGGCCCTTCTATTTATACTAGCCAGAGGAGGCCCATGAGACCGATGGTCTGAGAGGCCCTTCTATTCAAACTAGGCAGATGAGGCCCCTGAGAATGATAGTCCGAAGAGCCATGCGGCGGCAACTGGCCGTGGCCATATTTCGGCTCGGTAGGGCCCCACAGAGCTCATGAGAGCACCTCAAGGGCTCCTAAGTAGACACGCTTATCCCCATAAGGGTGCCACGCCGGCTTCTGAAGGCTTCTTGTAGGCATCTAAGGGCCCTTTCCGGCCTCTAAAGGCTCCACCCGCCTGAGATGGCTCCACACCAGTGTTTATGAGCGCCACACAGTGGCGCCTTTGAGGGTCATACTAATGTCTCTTAGGGCCCTATATCGGTGGCTCTGGGGGCCCCACACCGGCGCCTCTGTGGGCCACCACACCTGTGCATCTCAAGGCTCTATAGGTACATCTGAAGGACCCACACCGACACCTCTGAGGGCCCCACACCAGTATCTCGGAGCTCTGAAGGCCCCACACCGGTGACTCTGAGGACTCACCGGCTCCTGAGAGCACCATGTTGATGTCTAACGGCTCCACAAGGCCACTGAAGGCACCACACAAGCTCTCACTGAGCTCTAATGTCCATGCACCGGCCTCTGAGGGATTTAAGCCAGCGCATTCATAGCTCCACACCAGCAATTGTAAGGGTTTCACACTGAAGTATCTGAGGGTTCCACACCGGTGTCTCTAAGGGCCACATACTGGCATCTCTGAAGGCCCCATACCGGCGTCTCCGAGGGTCCACATCTGGCGGGCACCCATCAGCGACTGAAGGTCCCACACTGTCGACTCCGAGAGCCCCATCTGCGTCTGGGAGCACCATGCCGTCTCTAAGAACCACAGCGGCTCCTCCTTACGAAAGATGGGCGTCTGCATGCCAAAGGGGAGCGGTTCTGAGACAGTAGGACACCTACGTGCAATAGAGGGACGCCTATGAAGCCCATAGGGGCGCCTCAATGCGTAAGAGGGGCGCCTCTGAGGCCTACATGTATGGGCGTCCACATGCAATAGAGGTCTGCTGCAATTGATCAATGCCATGGGGGTGCATTCATAAGAAACAGGGGCGCCGGCATGGCAAAGAGAGGCGCCTTCAAGTGTCCATAAAAGAGAGACGCCTAAAATGGTGCGGACTTTCCGCACTGTTCGCTTAAGCGGTTACGCCCCTGGGTACATCTGCCCGATCTCAGAAGCTAGATTTGGAGGTCATACTTGAAAGCAGCCAGCAGGACGAGGCAAAAGTTGGAGGCCCCTAAAAATAGGAGGCCCCCTGGAAAAGGAGGCCCCTTGACAGGGTGGCCCACCCACTTTTCATGACGTTCCTACGCCCGTGGACGATCATATACCTATGTCTTACAGACCGTATGAAAACTCCGTCCGTTTGCAAAGAGCCTGGCCCAGTCCAGTCAGGCCGTTTGAAGGCGGCCTGAAAACATTAGCCGCTTGCAAACCGCCTGAAATATGAGACCGTTTGGAAACGGCCTAGGCAGTTTGGAAACGGCCTAGTCAGATTTCAAACGGCCTGGCGAAGTAGGGGAGAGTGGGGTAAGATGCCCACTAGGGTGGGAAAGACCCACTAGGGTAGGAAAAGAGGGGGTGGGGCACCCCCTCTTTCGGCGAAACAAAGAATCGAACCTGGAAATTAATGTTCTTAGCGTAAAGTGGAAGACTGCCTTGTTAACTGCACAAAAATTTGCGAAGCTCAGTTGGGCAACGGCTGGCTGGTGATTGCATGTTTTTATTTGCTTCTTTCAAAAAATATCTTGGTGTCAAAACATTGTAAATATCAAAGAAGGTAAATAGTTTTATGTCCCTTTCTATGGTCGTGATACATTAACATGCGTGAACTGTGTCCCAAACAGTTTGTTTCAGGGTGTAGTTTTATGGCTAACAAATTGTACTGATTTAATGTTAATTCGGTACCTTGGGGTAAGATGCCCCCTGCCCTGATGGGGAAAGACGCCCCCTAAATCTGCAGGCTGGCCTTCAAGGAACCCGTCAAATCATTTATTATACGAGTATACTTGTGATGAGAGACAAAAGCTGATCTGGGACTATTGAGAGTCCAGTACGGTCGGGTGCTCCCCATGCCGGTCTCTCGGCCCACACAGCGACTTTTTGGGCGGCGTCTGACTCTGTGAGCCCTCACGATGGCCTCTGTGGGCCCCATTATTGGCTCCAAGGCCCCTCACGACATCCTTTGAGGGCTCCCACGTTGGCTCCACGGGCCGCGCTGGCATCTGAGGTCCCCACGATGGGCTCGAGGGCCCTCAAACAACATGAAGACCTGTAACGGCCACACAGCGGTCTCAGAACGCCACCACTTAGGCTGGTTTGGCCGCGCTGAACTATGATGGCCCTAACGATGACCCCTGAAGCCCTTACGACTACTTTTGAGGGCCCTTACGATGACGTTTAGTGTCTATTGCTGGCTCGAAGGGACTACTGATTCGTTCAGGCGATTCACGTGCCCATTTATGTCACTTATAGTGCAGGGGGCATCTTCCCCAACGCCAGGGGGCGTCTTTCCCACCCTGTGGGGTAAGATGCCCCCTTTCACTTCTTCAGGAAAATGCTTAATAGCATAAAAGTTATCATATTTCAGGTACGAAAGTGTGTTATTTTTTGGAGAAAAATGGTGTCGGCTTCCGTAAAAACTCCAAGTTTTTGCTTTCCGATCGTCATTTTCGAATAATATATGAGATTATAAAACCCTGGGCATCTTACCCCACTCTCCCCTACAACTACCTCAGAAAATATCTTAATGGATCCAGATTGGTCGATGATCGGGTTTGCGGAAGGACTTGTCTACGTCGAACATTTTCTAGCTGTGCATGTGCTCGTCCCGCCCCTGTTCCCCACAATATTAATTTAGGGTTATCTATGGTTTAACGATTCATACAGCTGATGGAACCTGGTGAAATCATGCCACAGGCAGTCCATGGGGGCGACATATTATTAACCCGCGCACCGACCGGGGGGGGGGGGGGGCGGATATCCGCCCCCTGAGGTTTTTCGTAGATAGCGGGAAAACTGCGGCGCGTAGCTCCGCGAAATTTGGTACGACTATTCTCTCATCAATTTTACACATGGTGTGCAAGTTTGAACCTCCTAACTTCTAAGGTCAGGTCACCAGGTCACTTTGAATGACCCAACCTCAAGTCACTTTTTTGCAACTTTGTCACCGTGCCAGAGCTACAGTAGATGTCAGAGGCCTTTGAAAGTCGCAGGATGCTATAAGGTCATTAGTAGCTACAATTTGTTTATCTCGAAATTTTGATATCGATGACCTAAGGTCAGGTCAATTTCTCGACCTCCCCATTATAAGTCAATGGGGGAAAAATCAACTCCCTGTTTTTACCACTAAAACGGGTCGGAATGGCCCCATAAACCATACATAACTTTATAAACGATCAACCTTCACCTTGAGGTCTGTTTTGCTGTTGGGCGGCTGTAAGGTCATGTGACGTCATCAAAGGTCACCAAAGTTTTTTTTGCCAATAACTCCGTACAGGAACAAGATACAGCCGCGCGGATGGTCTCATTGTGTTCAGCTCGTCAAGGCACATCGAATGATATACACGATGACCTCGAGGTCACGTGACCTGAGGTCAACCTTTGACCTTGACCTTTTGAGGTCAACATATATATCATTCGATGCAGATTGACGAGAGGATTACGATGATGCCCTTAGTTTGTTTCTATCTTGAATAGTTCGAACGTTATTCGAGAAAAACTTTCCATATCTAGCGCTGCCATTTTGACTTTTTAACCCCTGTGACGTCATCTTTGACCTGACCTGAAAATGACCTAGTAAAAATTGTAGACCTTGTCCGTGCGTATCCCATGCCGTTTACCGCTTGTCGCTATCTTGCTTCGTTCTCGAGATCTCAGGGGGGCGCTCATCCGCCCCTCCCCCCTCCGTCGGTACGAAGTTGGCGCAGACCCCCCGGGCCCCGTCAGTGCACGGGTTAACAGTCATGCTTCAACAAACTATTGCTCTTTGTCCATTGTCCAGCTATCTTCACGCTGACTAGACTGTTTTCAAACCGCCTAAGCCATTTGCAAATGGCCTGGTGCTCAATAGTTGCCATACGGCCTAGCCCTAGGCGATTTCCAAACGGCCTGAAATTTCAGGCAGCTTGCAAACAGCCTGGAACTTCAGACCATTTTCAAAGGGCCTGACTTTTAAACCCGTTTGCAAACTGACTGGGCAGCCCAGGCCGTTTGCAAACGGCCTGACTCGAGCCAAGGCCGTTTGCAAACGGACGGAGTTTCATACGGCCTGTAACATATGTTCGGCTCTCGCGAGGTTAAGCGGTAGGCTTTGCACTTTTACGTTTCCGGTTATATCTCAGAAACTAATCGATCTACGATGAAGCCCTTTTACACGATCATGGCCGGCTTGTGAGCCAATAAGTCGATCGCATCTTCAAAACTTAACCCTCGCCGGCACAGGGGGGGGGGGGTTGATGCAACCCCCTAAGGTTTTTTCGCGAATAACTCGCGTAAAAAGCGGCCGATTGCGACGAAAGTTTAAGTACCCTCGCATTGATCAATTTTACACCTACCATAAAAACTTCATGACCCTGACTCAAATGACCTTTGATCTGTGACCTCTTTTCCGAGACCATGTTTGGCCGGAATCGCGATTCGGCGTATGTCGGCTCGCATTAGCCGCGCGTTTGCAAGCTTTTCGTGGTTTCAAACGTTCAAACATGTGATTTGATGTTGTTGCCATACATGAGGGTGGGTGTCAAGGTCACCTGAAGGTCAGGTCAGGTCATTGTCCTTTGGTGACCTAGGGTGACCTCGGTTCACTTTTTCGAGTTTTACATGTTTCTAGGCTAGTTTTTAGAGCTGAATTCGAATTTAGCAACCATTTGAACATTTATGAAGTAGTTTTGGTGCCTTCGTAACATGTTACGAAGCTCTCAGAGGCGGTTGACACATATTACGAATACCCGTCACAACCCCTACCGGTTGACCTGACCTGACCTGACCCGACCTGGTCTAAATGCTTAAATACATCCTCTCTGATCATAACTAACACGATATTCGTGATCAGCACCCCGGAAAACCCCAAAGCAGCCACACTTTACGACTTTCGAACAGGTCCCGATTTTCCCGGTTTTCGGGTAATTGACCTGACCTGGAATTGACGGGTAATTGACCCGATGACCTAGGACCTTAACCCGCGCCCGGCTGGGGGTCCTGGATTTCCACGCCCTGCTGGGTGTTTGAACACCCCCCTTGTAACTCGGCTCCTGGGCCACGTAGCGATACGCGGAAGGCGGCGATCGAAAGAGCGTCAAAAATAATGACGAAATCACTTCAGTCAATTTTTTGGTCAGGTCAAAGGTCAGGTCACCATTGCCAAGGCAAAATTTCGCCGATTTCCAGGTCGAATGTCTAAAATTTCCAAGAAGCTAACGCATAACTCGGGAACTAATAGAGCTACAGCGCTGCGGAAAAGCGCATTCGATAGCCCTATTAACGCCCTTTTTTGAGTAATTCCCTCAGATTTGACCTAACGTCAACGGTTTTGCCTGCAGGGGGCAAAAACTGCAAAAATAGCCGATTTTTCGGAAACGGTTTTTCTGCAATAACTTTTGACCCAAGCTTTGTACGAGCTTACTTTTACCGGCATCGTGTTCCTCTCGTCAAGACGCATCGAATGAACTATAATTTGACCTTGAGAGGTCAACTTGAAAATTTGACCTCAGGTCAAGGTCATGACCTGACAGGAAAGGGTCATGTTGCATATCAGTCGATCCGTATCGTCGAGCTGAACACATCTAAGGCGTTTTCATCGCTCTAGCATGCCTGTATCAAAAGTTATTTGCGAAAAACTGTTGGATACCATTCGTGACCTTAGATGACCTCAGGGCATAAACAAGGGTCACGGACACCATTTTTATGTTCAGTGTGTCTAAACCACTTGTAATTCGGTGTTTGGGAGTGTTTATAATGTCTTTCGTCCAAAAGAGGCGCATTTCAATTTTCTCCCATTGACTTATACCTAGGTAATGGGGAGTTCGCAAAATTGACCTGACCTTAGGTCATGGATATCAAAATTCTGAGATGTACATTTTGTACATGCTATTGCTCTTAGCAATCGCTGAAAGTTTCAAAGCGATCGGTCACTCGGTGTAGCTATGGCAGACATTGAAACTTTTTATGAGGTGAGGTCACTTCAAGTTACCTGGTGACCTGACCTTGAATGACCTTGGTCTGAAATTTTAACAACATGTGTAGAATCGATGTATAATAAGGTGTACCAAAAACGGCGGCGCTCCGCGCCGCCGTTTTTGAGATATTCGCGAAAAACCACAAGGGGGGGGGGGTGTGTTCAAACACCCCCCCCCAGCAGGGCGCGGGTTAAAGTTGGGTATAATCGGCTTCCTCTCGTGACGGGCAACACGATCGTTTTTTCCGCGAAGCTCTAGCTCGATCAGGGGCCAAACGCGAGGGGGGGGGGGGGTCGAACCCCCCCCCCCCCCCCCCTTGTGCCGTCGAAGGACGCAAAATGGCCTGTGCCGGCGAGGGTTAAGCTTAAGACGACGAAGATATAGCCTGAAGTACATACACTAAATTTTCTAGGTGCAAAACCTGCCGCTAAAACCCGCGAGACCTGTACCTACGAAAAAAAATTGAGTTTGTGATTGACAGGACGGCGCTGTCTGACGCATGTAGACTAGAGCGCTCGAACGGTTGCCGAGATATGAAGCTGCGAAGTGTCGCGTGGCCGCTCGTACCGATATTCCACCTCAAACTGCTGACTGCAGACCTTACCTCAGCCTCTTCTGCTGCGTCGTCCGTCACCTCAGAGTCACGTGACCGGCTCAGTGGGCTGTCCACGGCGTCACGTGACCGGCTGGCTGAACCGTCGGCGGTGTCACGTGACCGGCTCAGCGGCCCGTCGGCGGTGTCACGTGACCGGCCGTCCCTGCGGCCCAGCGGCGGGTCAGCGGTAGTCGGCGGTGGTCAGCGGGCCTCAGCTCCAGGCTGCGGCAGCGCGGTCGGGCCGCGCCAAGGCTTTATTCGAGTACACCGGCCGCGACCACACTGCACTGGCGCTGAGCAACTCCGCGAGTCGTTCCGCTGAGCATCGTTTGTGGCAGGTGACTCAAAATGAGTTCAACCTCAGCCTGGAGCCACCTCCACTCTAGTCGCTACATTGCTTTTCCATACAGAAAAACAAAAACGGACGACTTTAAATGATACATTTTGGTGAAAGGATGAAGAGCAATACAAGGAACAAACAATCCACTCATGGCCTATCATCCATCCATGATTAACCCTCGCCGGACCTATTGGTTTTCTACATCAACATACGCGCCGGCCGAGGGGGGGGGGGGGCGGGTACGACCCCCTCGCCGTTTCGCCCCTGGTGGAGCTAGCGCGTCGCGGAAAAAACGAGCGTGTGCCGTTACGAGACGCAGAAATTGGTGTCCGATTTTAACCCGCGACCGCCTGGGGGGGGGGTCGGATCCGACCCCCCCTCTGTTTTTCTTGAATAACTCATGAACCGCTTGAGCTATCAACTTGAAACTTTGCATACCTTCTCCCCCATCAATTTGACGTCTCCTGTGCAATTTTTAAGAAAACATTTTCAACAATTTCTGAGATATGTCGATTTTAGTGATGTAACTACATGGCGATTTCAGTCAAAAAATGATAAATGTTTAAAAAATCGCCAAACATCGAGGTTTTAAGCGAATTGCAAATTAAGGACACGAAAAGACGCAGCTCAACGAGTTCTTTAAAATGGCTATCTCGGATTTTCCATAAAATGCGTTTTTCACCCTTAAAAATTCAAAAAACTATATTTTTTGGAAAACATCTAATAAAATCCAAAATTTTGAGAATTTCCAAAGAACCGGAATATATGTTATAGAGCACTATTAGAACATTAGATGTCCCAAATTTCAACTTTCTATCTTGATTTTTGACCCCCAAATTGTAAAAAATAGCTCCAACATGCATAGGGCATGGTGACGTCATAAGCATTTTCGCGAATTAGAGGCACTTCTGAACATCGCATGTGAAAACAAATGGCACCACTAGATTCCTGGGACAAAGCTCGTCTAGAAAATTGCATTTTTATGTCAAAAATAAAAAGTTGAAAAATTGACTTTTTTTCTTAGCCCTCGTTTCGTTATGTATGGTATAAACGATTTTTTATGCTTTCAATGCACACTTATCACCAGCACAGTGACTTGGGGTCACATATACCCATTACCATCGCATTTGGCGTGAAAAATAAGCCATAAAACATGTGTCGCACGCCCATGTAGCAGAAAGTGAAAACCGTGACTTTTCGTGACCTGACCTGACCTTGACCCGTACTTAGTATGACCCCTATACGCACATGGTACCTTCACTAGGTCTTTGAGGTCATTTGTGGTGAGTTTCGAGCAGCAGCTATCGATTCCGCTGTCCGTAAGCCTAATCATGCAAAACCCCTGAATTTGACCTTTGACCTGACCTTGACCCGAAAGTTGACCTCAATCCTAAAATCTTAAGAGTGCTTTGGGAAGGTCTCGTAGAGACCTTTCGAACGCCGCCTCGCGGGGCTCGATATGACCATTGGTTCTCGAGATAACAGGGGGGGGGGGGGGGTCGGATCCGACCCCCCCCAGGCTGATGTGGGTACGGAAATAGCCCAGGCGGTGCCAGGTTAAGGTTCTAGGTCAACCGGTGACCTCTGAGGTCAGGTCAAGTGCCCCAGGGTACGGTTCAGTTTTTGGTGAATAACTTCGCAAAAAACGGCCGCAGAGCCGCGATTTTGGCAGCATCGTGTTTGCCTCGCTCAGGCGCGTCGAATGATATACTTTTTGTTCGGGTCAGGTCAATTTGGGGTGTTGACCTCAGGTCAAGGTCAGGTCAGCACCCTAAGGTCACGAAGTTGGTCGAAAGAGGTCATGTCGCATATCATTCGATTCGGCAGGTCTTCCTGAGTCCATTGGTGGCTTCTCCGACTCGCTAGCTCAATTTGATCGATCAAGAGTTATTGACGAAAAACTAATATGACCTTGATGACGTTATAAATGACGTCACGCAAGGTCAACATTGCAAAAGTGACGCATCTGACCTTGCAAGGAGTGCATCAAATCACGATTCTGTGTGCTTGAGATAGCTGGAGATCGTTCCCGGCGCCAGAATAGCAGTTTTCATTTTTCCCCATTGACTTATAATGGTGAGGTCACGAAAATGACCTGACCTCATATGACCTTTAGGAAAAATCCGAGATATACAAGTTGTGAGACTCATAATGGATACTAGATCCTGCAAGTTTCATTTCCCTGTGACATCTCCTCTGGCAGTGAGGGCGTTGCGAGGTTGCGACATCTGAAGACCGTGCAGAGGTTCACTTATGACGTCATAGGTCAGTGACCTGACCTGACCCAAAAATGCGGTTGGTGTCAAAAGATTCGGCTTGAATCAAAGATCTGGTATGCCAAGTTTCAGCTCTCTATCGCCAGCGTGTTCGGAGCTATCGCGAAAAAGCCCTATGGGGGGGGGGGCGGCACCCTCCCCCCACCCTCGGCCGGCGAGGGTTAACCTGCGCCCCGCTGGGGGTCCTGGTTTTCCACGCCCTGCTGGGAGCAGGGGCGGATCCAAGGGGGGGGGGGGTCACATGGGTCATGGCCCCCCCCTTGAGGCCCGGGGGCCCAAAGACCTGCCAGGGGCACCACCGGCCTATCAGGGGTATCACAGTCCTGACAGGGGCACCACAGGACCGCCAGGGGCACCACAGGCCTAGCAGGGACACCACGGGCCTGGTGCCCCTGGGCCCTGACAGGACTGTAACGCCCCTGACAAGTCTGAAGTGTCCCCGGCAGGCACGTGGTGCCCCTGACAGGCATGAGGCGCCCCTGCAAGGCCGGTGGTGCCCCTGGCAGGCCTGTGGTGTCCATGGCAGGCCTGTGGTGCCCTTGCTAGGCCTCTGGTGCCCCTGACAGGCTTGTAATGCCCCTGGAAGGACTGTGGTGCCCCTGAGCCCTGACAAGCCTGAGGTGCCCCTGACAGGCCAGTGGTGCCCTTGCTAGGCCTGTGGTGCCCCTGGCAGGCCTCTGGTGCCCCTGACAGGGTTGCGGTGACCTTGGAAGGACTGTGGTGTCCCTGGGCCCTGACAAGCCTGAGGTGCCCCTGACAGGCCCGTGGTGCCCTTGTTAGGTCTGTGGTGCCCCTGGCAGGCCTCTGGTGCCCTTGCTAGGCCGCTGGTGCCCCTGGCAGGCCTCTGGTGCCCTTGCTAGGCCGCTGGTACCCCTGCGCCCGGAGAGGACTGGTGCCCCTGAAAAGTCTGAAGTGCCCCTCGGCAGGCCCGTGGTGCCCCTGACAGGCCCAAGGTGCCCTGCGAGGCCGGTGGTGCCCCTGGCAGACCTCTGGTGCCCCTGGCAGGTCTGTGGTGCCCCTGGCAGGTCTGTGGCGCCCCTGGCTGACCTGTGTTGACTGGTGCCCCTGCTAGGCCGCTGGTGCCCCTCACAGGCCTGCGGTGCCCCTGGAAGGACTGTGGTGCCCCTGCCCCTAGGGGTGCTCATGGGCCCAACAGGCCCGTTGTGCCCCTGACAGGCCTGTCGTGTATACTTGCTAGACCTGTGGTGCCCCTGGCGGGCCTGTGGCGCCCCTACAAGGCCGTAGGTGCCCCTGACAGGTTTGTGGTGTCCCTGGAAGGACTTTGGTGCCCCTGACAAGCCTGAAGTGTCAAGGACAGACCCTTTAGACGCCAGGGTCAAGTTCGTCGGACTGACAACGATTTGCTTACCTGATAACGTTCCTGGTAAGTACTCACTACTCAGCGTCCACAACATATATGTATACACATAGCACATTCATATATACTTGCTTACAATTGGTAAATGTGGTTGTGGCTAAGAGTTAAGATACTGACTAAAAATAAAAAATAAAAAGAAAAAAAAACTGAAAATGGGGGCACCACAAAAATGAAGTGGACGAAATCCGTTGAGTTTTTAATTTTGGGTATAGGTAGGGGCACCACTTCGATTCATGACCCTCCCCTTGGAGTTTTCCTGGATCCGCCCCTGGCTGGGAGGAGGGGTTGAATCCTCCTTCTAACTCAGCTCCAGGGCCACGTAGCGATACGCGGAAGGCGGCGTTCGAAAGAGCGCCAAAAATAATGATGAAAACACTTCGGTCACTTATTTGATCAGGTCACTAGAGGTCATTGAAGGCAAAATTTCGCCGATTTCAAGTCAAATGTTGACAATTTCTAAGAAGCCAGAGCATAGCTCAGGAACCAATAGAGCAACAACGCCGCGGTAAAGCTCATTTGTAGCCCTACCCGCGCCGGGCCGGGGGGGGGGGTGTTTGAACACCCCCACTGTGGTTTTTCGCAGATACCTCAAAAACGGCCCACCTGTTTGTGCATTTTTTGCGCACATGTTGTGAAAATTTCAGACCCAGGTCACCTTAGGTCAGGTCACCAGGTCCACTGGCGGTCGCAGCCGCTAGCAAAAGGGGGGGGGGCAAAGTCACACTCGCGGGACATAACATTTATCCGTCACCGGAGGGGGGGGGGGTGATCGGCTAATTTTTTAACGTCCTCGAGGCGCCGCGCAGTTGGCATTACTTATGCAATCACCAGTTCCATTTCCCGTCCCACGGTGTTTCCACCGGTCGGGCCACTGCACCATGACGACGGATCGGTGTGGCATGTACTGGAAGGTCGGGCACGCGGATTCATTACCTTACCACTATCAAACAATTCGGAAAAGTACAGACACCTCTTGCTTTGAACAAGCATGTGAAACCCAGAGAGCATTTTCAGACTATGATATGTATTTACCCATATATGTAGTTGTGTGGCGGCGGGAGAGAGTAGGTATACCGACCTCTGGAGACCCCCACAGGTTCCTAGCTTTCAAAATTGGCATCTGAGGGCCGCGCGCGACTCCTGCAGGGCTTCGCA